GTGTGGACCTTGGTATTAGAAGGCCCTGTCCACAATGACACATTATTCAAATATACAATATTATTATTATTCGTTAAGAGTAGTTGTTTAATATTACTCCAACTCATATAGGATATTAAATTGCTGAAGATTTTGGGTTTAGCAACTGTTTGTATTTCTAATTTCCAAAGAGAGATTTGATCTAAGGATAAGAAAAGTAAGAATTTTAATGATAAGGTTTAGAAAGGAGATACACATTTCACAAAAAGAATCAATTATCTTTTGGGAGAATCTTTAAAAATGCTTTAAATAATCAAAATTCACTGGTTATATTTAAAAAAAGATTCTCAACTAAATGAATAGAATTTCTGGTTTTTTTTTTGGAGTTTATGATAGTGTCTATAATAAATATATACAACTTGTATAATTGAAGACTTCCTTAATATTTAGTGGTTTGTGATAAACCACAAATTATTGGTAACATCTTAAACTTTTTTAGTTAAAAAAAACATGTGCAGCAGATAGATAAACTTCATTTAACTAACAACGACTTATGGATTCTACATAAATGGGTTTAATTGTATTAATAATTGTACTTGATCAACTAGCAAATAATAGATTCTAATTCTATTCATATAAGCCCAGAAGTGCATGATTATTGGTGCACTAAATTATCAAGAGAAAATGAAAAAACTTTGCAGATCATTCTAAATTATAGCAATTGTAACATAAATTACAAAAAATCAAGCTAATTTAACAAATTCGAAGCAAATTATTGTCTAAGGTAAATAACAGCTAATTCACATAGCGTAAACTATAATTTATGCATTAATCATTACTGTTATTTATTATGCACAAGACATATACTTTTTCTATTTACATCTCAATTAATCTAATAGATAGCTAACACTAGAACAGCTGCATTTTCATGTATTCTACAATTTCATAAAGAATATTAGAATTTGGGAAGCATAAGAATTTTATAATAAACAATTTCCTTTGAATGATATGAGCATTTTTTCCTAGAATCATCTACTGTAAGTTCATCTTAAAAAATCCAGAAAAAAGAGAAATAGTTTTACTACAAGTCGGCAGCAGATGAGTTGTTAGCTCTGTAGTTAGAAATAATACAAAAATAAATTTTAAGATTGAGGCTAGAACAGTCATGAGTAATATGAAATTTTAATAGTACAATTTTAAATAATTCAATATGATCAAAAACATTCTCATTACTCTTACTGCGCTTAAGTCAAACAGTTTGTTTCATAGAAGAATTTAAAAAATAGCCACTAGTAGACAAACTTAATATACAAAGGTGCTCCAAACCGTATGAGTGAGCTCAGTGTACTTCAGGAAGGACAAGCTGAATATAATACTCAAATACAACAAATAAATGGGTTGCCGTCACAATAAGTTTAGGAGTAATTATATCTAGGAAAAGTTTTGATTTTATGGGGCAATGAGAATATCTATATAAGATTAAAATTACACAAGGTTGGCATATTGAGCTATTAATACTTGCAAGTATGACAATTTACAATTAAGAATATGAAATCTAATTAAGCGTTTAAGCTTCTCCATCATTAAATTATATTTCTTTTAAATTTAAGAAGACCTCTATAAAGTCTGCATGAATTGCCCTAAAATTAACTCGCAATATCTGATGCGGATTAACTTCATAAGTTTAGTGCTCTTAAAAGACAGAACCAATCAATTATGGATTGAATTAGTTAAGTGGTTATATTTTTAAGTATAAGAGATGTCTGCTCTATTGCTGCTTTGATAGAGGAGATATCCCGAGCAATGATTATTAAGAAAGCTGTGGTTATCATAAAAAAATAAAGTTACATCTTGTTCTGATCACTACATTTTAGCAGCAACTCAGCAAGCAGTACAGGATAGGTTACTACTTTATATATGGTAAAAATTATTTCTATATAGTAAGAATAAACAGTAGAGCAACTGCTACTTACAGAAACTGATTTATATTGCAGAATAGATTGTAAAATTAGTACCAACTCTAAAATTTGCCAGCAATGGCAAAGCGTTAACTAAAATCAAATATCTTAGACAAAGAGTTGGGTATTAATTATATCTAGTTATGCACACTATTTGATAGAAACATTGGGACCGCCAATACAAACAAGTACCAAGTGAACTTGAAGATCATAAGGAGAAATCTGTGACCGACTATCATTGATGTCTTATAAGTTATTCTAGCCTAATTTAAAAATTATTATTATAACACTTTAGATTGTCTTATTTATAATTATTGCATTACATCAAGCATGATTAGATTTAATCTAATTTTGTTGTTAGGTCATTGTTTTACCTACACTTGTAGTTCCCGATCCCATCTTAATTCTTGGCGCATATCTGGTTAATGCATCTCATCTATATATCCTTTAACAACATGCTTCTAATTGCAATGATGTATTGAAGGGAACCTTTCAAAAATTGAAAAATGTACCAAAGTCTTTACAATTTAAATTAGAAGAATAGATTAGAAATTTAGCAACAATGCAGAAAGCATGAATCACATGCAAAGCTTTCAGATTTTTGACAAGATATGAAAATTTGTCTCCTTCATATAGCCTTAAATACTGGTAGAAGTAAAGAACGTATGCACGGATAATACTTTATAGAGCTAAGCAAGGACTTGAGCATAAGCACGGGAAGGACATAATAAAAAGTAGTTGAAACAAAAAATGGGGCCAGATTATGTTGAACAACAGTTAGAACATAGGAATCCCATACAATCTAGGGAAATAAAAAGTATTTAAACCTGATGCAGTATACATCTCATTCATCAAAGAAGAGAAATGTCAAAACTAATAATTTATAAATCTTGCTTAATCACTGAATTAAAAACATTCCAAGATAAATTCGTTTGAAATTATCGCATGCTAATAAAAGAAGAGAAAAAAGCCCAACATTTAGGATTGTTAGAAATCTTCTAGAGTTCATCTAAACAATTGTACATAAGTCAGGGCATCTCCACATACTTTGCAAATTCGAGGATCTAACCAGATATTATTAGTAAGGAATTATAAGACATGATTACCATGCTGTAAAACAAAAATGAGCTTGAGGACAAAAAATTTGCATGATATTGAAACACTTTTCAAAATTCTTATTATATTTACTACAAGCATTTTACCCTGTAAGTCTGGAATGTCCATTTAGTATGAATCACAATCGTTTCATGGTAACTAAATAAACAACTGGTGTATGGATAAAACAGAAAATGAATTGCCACTAACATATAAAACATATTAAGAAATGTTAGATAAAAAGTAAGTAAGGTTTTTTCTATACCAACACTCTGAAAACATTAAGTAGCTCAAATAAATGAGTGAGATAAAGAGTTTAACTCAAATAGACATTGATTATCACTCATTTGTCCAAATTAGTGTCAGTACTTTAATGTCAACACATAGCATAAACTATAAACATTACAAACAAATCACACAACATCTTCTGTAAATATTGGTAAAATACTCGAGCAGTAATGCATCCATACCTAAAACTGAAGCATGCCTTTATTTCTTCTTTTAGGTATATGAAAGATCCATTTATTTAGAGCTTTTATTTGATTGACATAATAAGGATGTGATGAAGTGTTGCACTGAAGACATTCAATTGATGCAGCAGTCATATAAAAAGAATATGTATAAGGCAAGAGTCAAAGAGTCAACATTAGTAGGCAAGTAATATCTGATTTCATAGTTGATTATACATAATATGGGAGAACTAATTGATTAATAAATAATTTCTCTAATTGAGATATAATTTACCTTAAAGTTATCTTCCATGTGTAAATATTCTTTTGTTAAATTAATTTTTAAACTATTGTTCTTATCTTGTTGTGTTTAGATATTATTTCAAAATATTAGTAATTTTAATATTTCTAGGTTTTCTTTTAAATTAATTAATATATTCTAATAATTGTTGTTTGTTTATCAACAAATCGTAGTTATATTTTTGTATTGTTTGATACATCAATCTTTCGACCCATTTATTTTTCTTTTTAATTGTGTTATTGTATTGGTTATTTGCTTCATTTTACTAGGTTATATTTATTTATTGACCTGATATAAAGGTGATCTTGATCTATTAAGCTGTATTCTAAGATATCTTTTCTTATTACTTCCCTAAAGTTTTCTCATTTTGAGAATATAGTATTCAATATTTTAACTAATACATCATTAAGTAAATATTCTTCATAGATAAAATGAATATGTCAAGAAAATTAATTATTCCAAAATCCCTTAGGAATTTTAATGAATTAAATATATTTTTTCATATTAATATGATTCAATTTTCCTAGGCAACAAACTTCATTTTAAATTATTAGTTTAATTATTCAATCATTTTCAAGATACATTTCTATTCACGACCATTTCTGTTCACATTAGGGTAACATAATCAATATAATTAAATAGTATTATTTGTTTTTTTATAAAAATTGTAAATTTTATATTGATATTAAGCGCTCTATTCTCACAACTAAGTATTCAATTTTTTACATCCTAAACTGAAATTTTACTATTTGAAACCATTTAATTAATGCTCTCACTTATGGTCAAAAAATTGTAATTTTCAACCAAACTTACTTAATATCTAGTCTGGAGGATGAATCCAAACATTGGAGTTTTGAAATAAATTTATTCATCTTTAGAATCTAAACCTATAAATGCTTTATTAAAAGTATCAAAAGGATAAATTTATTATTTTCTCCGTACTCTTAGTGCAAACAGGATATATGCAATCATATTATTCCCAAAACAAATCAAATATTTCCATACAACTTAAGCAATGATTAGATGAGTATTAAAATTTTTTGCTGTTGAATTAGGATTCATTACTAAAACTTCCTTTAGCTAGGATCGTGTTTACTGCTACCTTATAGTGATGATAATAGTTTGTAGATGCGCTCTAGTCGCAAATTGAACTTCTATATTAGGGAGATAAAGCTCTTTGATAATATCAATTATTATCCATTACACATTATTTTCTCAACATTTCACCCCTACCATAAGGAAAGATTTAAATGAAATATTAATATAACTTAAAGGGTTTTTTTCCTATTTCCCAATGGTTGGTATAAAATACCACTGTTTAGAAAGTTCTGTTTAGATTCCAAATCCTTGTCATTTAAATATCATTAGTTGATGATTTATTGGAGCCCTAGAAAGTTCATTAATAGAACTTTTATTGTAGTCAGATTGTTTTTTATTTTAGAAAAACAAATCAGTAAAATTATCCCCTAGGATAGTTTATCAAGAGTTCAATCTACTCTTAACCAAAAATAAAGAGTAGTCATTTACGGTTTTAAAAGAGAAAATAAATGACTTATAATACTGTAGGCTTTAGGAGTTAAATGTTTATATTTTAATTCAGGAAACTCAATTGGTTAGTTTTTATAGTATTTTATTTGTGATAAGCTTGAAAAAAAGAGAAATAAACAGAAAAGTTAGATTCTTTTTGCATAACATATAACATAGAATAATGATTAAATGCATTTTATAGTAAATTATAGAATGGATAATTAAAATGGCAAAAATTATTATTCAGAAATACATAATTAAATCATATTAATTAATCAATAATTTATATTCCATGAAAATTTTCATATCACTTTAAGGTGCATTTAATCTTAACATCATGAAAGACGATGACTCATTTATTATCATATAAAATTTAACCGAGTACTGGTTTAACTTAAAAGTAATTTTAAGAATTAGGGATCAAATTAGATTAATTTTCCATAAAATTTTATATTATTTTTGCATTATGCTATATTAATTACTTATAGTAATTTTAGTCATTACTTAGGGAGAGATTTTGTACTTAGAGAACTTTATAGATGATAGCTTTGTTGATTCTGAGGGTATATTATTATGTAATGATATAAGGATGGGCAGTAAAATATGCAAGCCAAAGTATTGGTAATTGCAGTATTACAAAATTGTTTGGAGGTTATGGGGTGTTTGGAAAAAACACAATTATTACAAACCTAATAAACCTACCTGCTCACTATGCTATCAAGATTACATTTGAATTTTGGAAGTAAGATTATTAATAAATACTTATAGAATGGATTCTTGGGATAATGAATATTTTTATATGTATTTTGATTAGAATCTAATCTTCTCTAAGTAGTATGGAACATCAGATACAAATCAAAACTTGTGTGGATCATAAACTGCAAAAATATACCATGAAGAAGTCTCTTAAATCAGTGTATCCTAAAATCATAATTTTAAAACACTTTTTATCCTGATGACGACAAATTTATAAGGAATAGCAGATGTATGGATATAAATTTATGAGAGGAATGGTGGGGAATCAGACATTTCAGATTATATATCTACCCATGTCCATCAGGATGTTAAAGTTGCACTTAAGAAGATTCTTCCATAGATTGCTCGATATGGGTTATCTAGTATCAAAGTTTATTGACTGTGGACCCAAGCTAATTCTAAATGGAAGGATGGATGATTTTTGAAGGGGAATCATCAAAAAGTATTTGCTCTTGTATATTTGTTATAAATTATAATAGCTATTCCAATGGTAGGAGGTTTGCTTATAAGTGGAAAAAATAGTAAAATTATAAAATCCATAAATTTGCCAGTTCATTGCTAAATTAAGATTTAATTCAGATTTATTTTTATTGATAGATGGGATTCTGCGTACGCATAATTATATGTAGATAACGAATTAATATGGAATTATAATCATAGTTCAGTTACAAACAAACTAAATCTTTGTGGTAATAATTTTGGGGAAAATATTTTAAATGAGAAAATTATATTACCTCATAAATAGTAACTATTACAATTGTAATTTACTACTACACTGAAAAATTCACTTTCTTAATCAGCATTTGGTATTAGAGACATTGAAATATTTATATGTAAATATGATTAATAATTTAAGAATGTCCTTATGGTTTTCCTTTAGATTTAGATTGTGGAGGAATTTGTGGAAATGGGGTTATAGATAAAACTGAATAATGTGATGATGGTAATATTTTCCCTTTCGATGGATGCTTTAATTGCTAATATTCATGTGTTGAAGGCTGTTCTAATTGTATTGAGGGCATATGTTTCGAATGCTAAGAAAATTATATTTACTAAGATTTTCAATGCGCTCCAATTTCTATAGACATTCTAATAAATGATTTAGATGAATAATAGGAATGTGTTTATGGTTACAAACTAATTAACAAATAATGTTAAACAGTTTGTGGAGATGGAATAATAGCTGGGAGTGAAGTATGTGAAATAGAGGAATAAGAATGTCACAATTGTTAATTTATTTGTTTCAAGAATTGTGATTTTTGCATAGAAGGCGGATGTCATTAATGTATTTTCGGATATTCATTGAATTTGAAAGAATAATACTGTTAACCTATTTGTGGGAATGGCATTGTAACTGATGATGAAGAATGTGATGATTAAAATTAACTAAATGGTGATGGATGTTCAAGCCAATGCAAAATTGAATAGAATTACGTATGCAGAAATTTGTAATACTCATTTACAGAATGTAGCTATGAAAAATAGCCTTCTTTCAAACTCTCATTAATTAACTCATATCATTAATATTAATATGTTTCTATTTATTTTGACTAAATGGTTAAAAAAAAGAGTTCGAATTTATTTTCTACAACTATTCAAATGCGTTTAATTGGACCTAGTGAGACATCTTATAGTTTGCATTTAATTCCTATTCAAGAACCCTTTGAACTAGTTTCTGCTGCAGAATACTAAATAGAAATTTTAATAAACACTACTCTAGAATAACCACCTATTTTAGAAGTAATTCTAGGAGAACAACTATTTAATTACAACGATGCTTCCCTTTTGAATCAACATAAATAAATTTAACTTAATATTCCAAGTTACATTAATGATCAATTAAAACAGAATGCATTATAACTCAGCAGTGTAGCTAAATACACAATTATTTCAATGGGAGGATCAGCTGTGATAATATTGATACTTTTTGGATCATTATTAGTTTAAGAAATGCTTGAAATACTTCAATAACAATCCTATCTTAAATTTATTAATGTTGTTTTTCCTCTTAATTTATTTATTTACTTTGAATCAAGCAATCTGGTATCTATACAACCTGTATTGGATAAAATTAAATTTAATAATATATTAACTTAATTTATGAATGATTAATACTTGGAATCTTAAGGGAAACTATTATTCTACGAAGTAAATGCAAATATCTTAAGCAATATTACAACCCAAGTATTCATAATTATCATAATAATAATTACCTATTATTCAGCTTATGTAATTATTATCTTTATAAGGAGATTGAATAATTAACAATTTTTCTAATTTGGTACACACTTTGCCAAGTTTATTATGATAATCTTAAAATCATTGTAAAACTTCAAAAGAAACTTCTAAAGAGAAGCATTCTAAGACTTTTTAAATACAAATAGCTGGGATCTCCTATTTATGTCCTTATTGTAAGTATCGTCACAATCACCTAGCATAGCTTGCTATTTTTTGGCATATCTGATTTTTTATGTTAACCTCTTTCTTTCATCCAAAATCTTATTTAGAACTAGTTTTCCAATTATGAGAAGTCAGAAATAATTATGGATTTCAAAATCAAATTAAATTAAACTATTCAAAAAAGCATTATTTATAAGTGTATTAGTAATGTTTTAACAAAATCAAAAACTATAAATTATGTTATTAAGCCTTGTTTGTTAATTTTATTTGATTTATCTTTTCATTATGAAACCATTTAAAAGTATTACAGGCTATGTTAATACTATGACATTGGAAATAAGTTCTTTTATATTTTGTTTCTCATCAGCATTGTATTGGAATGATTTTTAATATAAATTGAATTATGAAACCTAAATTTAATTTGCATGGTTTCAAATAGGAATTTTATTATTATGCTTATTTATTAATTTAATTTCACAATTATGCATGATATGCTTAGAACTGAAAAAAATTGTAGTGAAATGGATTTAAAAAAGTCATCCCTAATAATAAAATCAAATACAAATGAAAGGAAGTCCATTTACAATTCCTTGAAAATTTATATTATATTATATTATTATATAATATTATAACACGAAAGTTTCAATTAGATCTTAGTGCTTTCAATAAATCCATAATCTTCATAATTTATTAATATACATACCTAAATTAATTAAATTAGTATCCATTTTTGAGATAATCTGTTTTGAATTAAATTTGTCTTCTAATCATAATTTTTAAAAGATAAGGTCGGTTATAAGTAATTAACTCAATTAGATGTCTTTAAATAATATCATTATGTAATTCAGATTTAATATTGTTTTAGATTATTCTTTTTTATTGTATATTATGCTTTAATTCTAACCATTAAAGGTGCCACATAAATTTATGCAACCAAATGGAACATCTATCTAAGAGACATCATGGGCTATCAAAGATTGATCTCAAGAAAATATCAATAAACAATATAAAATAGTTGAAAAATGAGTCAAAGTTTGGACACATAAGTGCTGAGCCTAAAGCAATTCTAAAAAATCATCACGTTTCAAGAATCCTATCAATCGAATTAAAACACTAATATGATACTCAAATTAAATTCAATCTCTTTAATATTTCCGAAATGAAAAATTATTTTTGATTAATTAGCTGCAGGAACGAAACTAGCAATGAAAAGTAAACGTAAATCACACTCTTATTGATAAAAACCATTCGCTTGAAATTAAGAAAAATAGACTATAATAATAATAAATACAGAATAATATAAATCATCAATGCTCTGAATGTAGAGATTAAACTTGGATTTATTAAGAATTAATCTAATCAGATGGAAAATCATCTTCTGCCAAGCCTTCAATAATATACCCATCTATGCTTCTGTTAATTGCAGTTAATGTAACTTTTGTATTTAAAGTAAAAGCATAAATATCTTCATAATCTTACTCAAGCAATTCTTTTGTAACTTCGCTGACATGAACTTATCCCTTTTTACCATTTGATTCCATTTTGTTTGCAATTAACACATCTGGGCCATAGATATCATATCTCACTATATCCGTACCCATCACACCTCCAAATACACACCCTGTATGAATCCCAATTCTCATATCAAGTCCATCAAAATTGATTTGCTTTCTGACAACTTCAATAATTCTAATCATTTCAAATGCTAGATCAACTATATTTTTGGCCTCCTCTGCAGGGTTTCTTTCGTTATAATCAATCATGCCTATTGCTACATAACAATCTCCAATTGTGTATAACTTATAAACATTTAATTCATAGCACTTTCTATCGAATTCAACAAATAGATTTTTTAGCATTAGTAAAACTTCTTCAGGTGTAACTCTACTTGAGTATTCAGTGAATCCAGCAATATCTGCGAATAAAATAGTAACATTCTCTATTTTGTCACTTAAACATCTTGCTCTATTATTATCATCAAGAAAAGTTTATAGAATCTACCTTATAATTATAGATTTACATGTTTAGGAAGTAAGTATTATAATAGTTGCGATTCTTTGGCTTATTAGCTTTAAAAGATGTTCTTCTAATTGAAACAAGCTACTTATTACTCCTCCAAAAAGTAACAATAATTTATATTATAAACCATCACTATGAAAGCAAAAAAGAGTGATATACTATGTTCCTTCCAAAAAATCAAGACAAAGGCTTCAAAAGTAAAGGAGCTAATGCAAAATAATATTTTAATCCAAAAATGCAATAATTATATGTTGCTAAAAAATGATTGGATAAATATCATTTCTAATATGTGAGAATATCTTAAAAACAAAGACATGTCGAAAATCACAAAAATACCAGCAAGAATAAGCTAAAAACTTAATCCCATATAAATCAATTATACCCAATAGTCTATCATTCTTTTCTTGTACATCAGCAAGGATATAATATTTAATGCACATCCAAGCCATTGCAGTATTATCAAAGGCAATGAAATCATATTATATACTCCAATTAAGCAAAATTATTTAATCAGGTAATAAAATGAGTAAATTTAAATTATTTTATTCGTCACATGCTCAGATTGCTTGTAAATATATTCATGATATTCCAAATAGTTATTTTTACTAGAATTATATGACTTTTTTAATAACGAAATGAACGAGTTTTAAAGTATTAGGGTATCCTCTAAGCCATTTTCATTCTTAAGCAAAATCACATTCTAAATTAATAATATCAAAAATTACTAATAATTAATCGTAATTAATATAATGGTCTACTTCAGGCTAATACAATTCTAAATGAAATTTGTGATGAAATAAAGTTGCTAATTATGAAATAAGTTCTGGTTATTTAATATTTCTATATAATTTGTCTTCATGATCATTGTCTTGGGGAAAATGATTAAGATTATGACTGGATATGGAATTCTATAATCCTTTTTTGATGCTATTTTCTTCAGATAAAGACTAGGAATTCTACTACCCATTTTACTATTGGTAATTCCACGATAATTAGAATTATAATAATTATTTTGAGCGTTGATTTAAAGGGTCTTGAATGGCAATAGACCTCTTTTTTAAGCCTCCTTTATGGGATGATTAAGTTCTCACTCTATTTGCTATATTCATTGTATTTTATCTACTGTTACAATTGCTATTATTGATAGAACTTTTTGCAATATAATTCTTAGTATTTCCTTTCTAGACATAAACATAGGTTGGTCGTTATCCTAATCCTTTCATCTCAACATATCTCACTTCAAACTCTATTTTATCATTTTTTAATTATTCAAAGGCCCTTTCGGAGAGGGTAATTTTATCCTCTTAACCTGTTGAACACACTCTGCTGGTAGTGTTAACTGTGTCTCCAATTAATGAAAATTATGGTTTATGAAATCCAATAACACCAGAAATTGCTCTTCCATAATGAATCCCAATCTTACCAACTAAAGCCTAACTTTGATGACCCCATCTAAATATTAACTTGATAATACAATTTTGATCTAATATAGGTAATCATCATCTCTGCTAAATTTAAGGCTCTTTAAACTGGTTCAATTTCTGATAGATATGCTAATTCCTATTCACAGGCTTTAAGCCCAGCCGAAGCCATATAAGTTTTGCCAACTGTTTCAATTTTCTAAACACCACATATTTCGCAGTACTTATCAAAAGTTCGAAAAAGGTCATCCAAAAATGGTATTATATTTTCTTACTCTTCCATGATAATTTAATCGAAATTGCAAATATCACAAAAAACAATGGCTACATGTCCCTAATTTTAATGGATATTATATTAGTCAGCTAAATAAACTTTCAAATCAGTTTACTTTCATTTAGACGATGGCGTACAAATTTGGGCAATAAAATTCCCAAAATATCATTAATTTTATTATTCTCTTCTATAAAATTTATTTAGTTTGTAGCCTAATCTTCCTCAAGTAAAATAAACTAAATATTTTTTATAAATTACATAGCTTTTGATTAAGTATTGTTGTACAGAAAAGAATAGAATTATAGAGATCTTAATAATCACAAAGTAAGGAGTGATATCAACATTTAAAGAAAAACTTTCTATAAATAAGATGATCTTACATAACAAAATAGCCGATCAATACAACTACTAGAGGTATAAGATATAACCTGTTATCATATATTGGGTGGAGTTTACTCGATAGTTAAAATGTCACAATGATTTCAGAGAATGAATGATAATATGATGACATTCCAGGTACTGACAATCCCAGAACTGCTACTAATGTGACTATACCTGATATCATGTATTTAATTAATTCTAGATATTGTGTTTACCTTGAATTAAGGTGATATAGCAATTAAAAAACATATATCGCTATTAAAAATATTAAGTAAACTATGTAAGTGATGAGAAAATAGTAACTAGTATCTGATTGCGAATAAATAATAATAAGCATCTGACAATGAAAGAATATTAACTATAATCCTTAGATTCTCGATTTCTATTTCCATTTCATTATTGATTGAGCTTTCTGAAAAATTTAGGATTACCATTAGCCCAAATTCTGAAACAATTATTTCTAACTTAGTAAAACTTAATGATATCATAATAAATTACGCTTCTAAAGATTAAAATCCACCTATTCAATGTTTTCAAATATTTTATTTATTTCTCTTTGCAAATTTAAAATTGATATTTATTTTTAGTTCATAGATTCTTTTTGATGATTAATTGAATTTGAAATTTTTTGAAATAAACCTTTCATTTAAGGTACTTATAATACAAAATGATGCTCAAACAATTATTCACTTACTTAAAATATAAATATTACTAGTAATATTTCAAATAGGTTGGAAATTTCAAATGTAAACTCTAAATTTGGAGCCATAATGTTAAAATGAAGCAACAAAAAAAATAAATATGATAGACTATAAATTAAGAACACAGCAACCTTTAATTAATAGCCAATCTAAAGTAATAAGCTAATTAAATCATTCAGAGTTATTGAGAGAAAACAATAAACAATAACAACATCTGCTGATTAAATTTGGTTTTGATATGTAAATATCAATTATGTAATTATTCCTTAAATTATCGCTAATATAAAAATTATGAATTTACATTTAATTCCGATTTAGACATAATTGGATTTTTTTTTTGATTAGTTAATTATTGATTCTATAACTTTCTATTAATATTAGTCTCTTTTAGAATTTAGGTTTTATTGTTAAATAAATTCTATGGTTATAGCACTATAAATAATTAAGGAATAAAAATAAGAATAAAATGCGAATTCCACTATTAAATCCATTTAATTGTTGAAAAACCAAACACTAGTTATGTAAACTGTAATAGTAAACGATGAAAAATATATCGTTCTCTAAAAAGCAATCAAAAACTAATATTTCGTTAAGATGTTTAATAAAGGCACATAGTAAAAGAGGAGTTCATTTAGTTCTTTAAATCCTTGCAGTATTGCATCAGTATTATGGTAGATTAATAATTCATTAAAGAGACCTAAATTTTAATAATCTAAATTAATTACATCTTTCATAGACTAATCTAACTTTAAGGGATTAAATCATGTTTTTGAAAAAAGTTTGTTTATTTATATTTTCATACTTTACCTTTTGAAAGTAACTGAATTCCTGGAGTAATGCAATTTACAAATGTTACCCTTAATGACATTTTAACAATGTTTGGTTTTCAAAAATCAAATTTAATGTTAAATGTGGTTTGTCAAACAATTTTTAAACGAAATTCAAAGATTAAGTATTTGCATCAAATAGGAGAGTTATTTTTGTCAAAGAAAATAGTAATTTCATATGATTAATCATGTAAGTGTTATTTAGCATTATTTTGCAAGCCTAACTTCCCAAAATTATTGCAATAAGAGGTGCCACATGATGGTCCTCTTAAACCTTTTTGTTTGAAAGTTAGGAAGAAATTGGGTTGATCAGTTTATTTAAAGATTAAACTTAAGAATTTGATACACAATTTGACTCAGAAAATAATTAAGTAAATTATTATAAAGATTTCTTGAAGTAAGCTCTTAAATCATCATCATTATCTTGATCAAATATTAATTTAAAATGGTTTTATATTTCTGTCTGGTGAATAATGGAACTAGAATAAGAAAATAGTTATTCTGTGTAAAAAAACAGCGATTATTTTGACTTTTCAAAATTTTTAATAAATTCTAATGCTTTTGGTTAGATGTTATATTTATATCCTAAAGTGATATTAAATTGCAAAAAGGGTTCCAAATAATTATAAACAAATTCTTCACTTTCAAAAGTGCTCTGGTATTGGAGTGATTATTAATTAACATAATATGCTGCATCTTCATGATTAAGGAGGCACGAATAATAGTGAATTTAATGTAGTTATTCCAAATCCATCTGATGAAGAAAATGAATAGATGATTTTTGATTAAATTTGCTTTCATCTATAATATCTGATTTTTTATAATTTGCTTCTCTTACTAATAAAATATATTCTGAATTTAATGTTTTTTCAAAATCAGGATCTAATTCAAATAACATATAGAGTCTTTGAGTATGATGATGAATTTGAAAATCAACTAACTTAAATGAGTAAAGTTTCTAATTGATTTAAACAACATAGGCTGAAATATTTCTAAAATAAATATAATTATAATTACTAAACGTTATTTACACAAATGAATTCAAATCCAAAAGCTTTAGCTATTTAAGTTTGTTTTTCGTCCAACAAATTAACTTAGACATTTTTAATCTTTTCTTCTCCCGTCTAAGTATATCTAAGTTTGGAATATGAAATGTGATTCAATGCTAATTATAGCAAAATAATGTTATTAAATTCATCTTCACTTGTAATTATTTTGATTAAGTCATTTAAATAAATTGATTTTCTGTCAATTCTGCTATCTTTCAGAGATACCTACTTTGCACTTTTACTGTTCATTGATAATTGAACTTTATTGATGCTGGATTTTTGCTGATAATCACTTTTATCTGGGTTAATGCTTTAATGCTATACAAGCGCATTAAATTCTTATTAAGTATTATCATTGTTTGTAAAGTTGCTGATGAGTCTAAAACCAGCAGTTTAAGGCATATTAAGAACCATTTCCTCTTGAGCCTCATAACTAAAAATTTCTTCTTCTAAATATCTGCCAGAATTTTATGTATTATTTTATTATTTAGAACTCTATATTTAATGACTATAAGATGCTTAAATATCAACAATTTTAGAATCCTCTTTAGAATCTACAGTCTTAAAAATATTTTGACTCGATATTGATGAGGCATATACTTGAGCTTGTTGAAATAATTCTTGTTCTCGACAATGACAAATGCGATTGTTGCAAATTATTGCTCTTAATTCAAATGTACCTTCTAGTATTGAATCTAAATTCAATGTCAAACGCTTATATTATTGATAATATTCTGGATGAAATGCTTTGATCTACTTCATATCCATTTAACTGATCTTATATATAATACGTTATTAGAATAATTAAATTAGATTATAATAGAATCTGAAACTATGTGGCAGTAAAAATAACAAGTTAAGCAAGTTTGTAAATAATAAGGATATGATATCTAAATATTCATTAACATACTTATTCTAATAAGTGATGGCGTACATTAACTATAATAGATTAATAAAAATGTACAATTAAAAAAGCAAAATAAAGAAAAATCATTGAGATAAGTAATCTTTATGAATAATTTGGAACTTAAGGTCTAATTTCAAATTACTTATAGCAACGACAATTCAATCCGACTTAGATAACAATCCCAATAACCCAAGGAGTATTTAATAGTTTTTCTTGAGCAAAAATAAAATTTTCATCTTCAATACCTTTTGATTATGGATCTTTTTTGAGCTAGAAATATCCTGAAAGGTTGTTTGTTGTTTCATTTAATTGAATATTTCCGGTAAAGGACTTTTTGAATAGAACTAAATTATGAGAATCAACTAAAGAATTAATAATTTTATCTTTTTACATTTATTTTACACTAAAGGTTTTCTCATGTTTTTGTTTGAATACTCACACAACTGATTTGAAATGGCAAAATTTTCATCATTACAATACAAGACAAGTATATCACAAGAAGCAATTTGATTTCTTTCTACAATAATAACATCTCCTAATTTAATTTCTGCCGCAGTAATGGATTTAATGAGATCCATTTTATCGGCAGTATTAATTATTTTAGAATCAATAATCTTTTTTGATCTCGAAGTATTTTTCTCAAAAATGCAAGGTACTTATTGCATGAATTTTCTAATTGCAGGATCCTAGACCAATTTGATTTTTAATTCATTTTTAATAATCATATCCTCATGAATGAGTGGACTCATCAATGAGGCTCTTGATCCCATCCTATCAAATCTATCTTATCTTGGGGACCCTGCAGGCCGGCCTTAGTTAATTGATTGCCTTGAAAATTGAGATTAAACTATTAAACTAAAGTTGAAATTAATACTCCCAGAAGACCTGCTTTTTTAACTCAATTGACGTTATATTTGATCAATTTTTATACTTTGATCAATTTTTATTGGTATAGTGCGATCCTTTTCTTTAATTTCTTCATTCTTGGGTTTTTAAGATGCTTTTTATTTTATTCGCTTTAATATCTCCTTATTACTTATACATTCATCCCATTATTTCAATATTTTATTTTCTTGATTGTTTAATTTAATATCCAGGCCATTGATTTTGAATTTATTGTAAATCTCAACACTTATGTGGGCAAAAAGTTAAAAAGAGAAGATGAAATAAAATTCATATTATTGCTAATCTCTACAATAGTTATAAAATTACATGGTCCAAATAGAAGCTAGTAAAATCATAGAAATTATAGACAGAGTGAAATAGATGATGTTGTTCCTAGCAACTCTAAAAGGAGCAAATAAAACTATAGACAAAATGGAGGATGTTCTGTTTATGCGATTGGAATAGGTAGAGTATCCGTCAAGCTTGATGACCTCGCCATTCCTGAAATGCAGCTGAAATTAAGGATGAATATTGCACTTAATAAGTTTTTCTTTTGAATTCGTCGTAGTGCTGTAAGAGTTTTTGCATTTAATTTAAAATAATTTTAATAATTATTATTAAACCTATCAAATTCCTGTGATTAGATAAATTGTTCTAGGAATTAAGTATTGAATAATTCCCCATCTTTGTTCAATTAAGTGATCATTTATTAGAATTCTAGCATAATACTCAGTCAAATATAAAGTGATCATCACAGAGGTTCCTATGTACATTAAAACCCAAAATAGAATGTTAAACCAGCCCTTCCATAATGAATATAAATACCTATTTAAAGACTTCCTTGGCTTAAATGAATAAAATTCCTGGACCAGTAAATAAAAGAAAACATATTGGATAAAAGAAGCCCAAAGCAAAAGTAAGAATGATTTCATGAATAACTGCTGAACATCCAAAAGTGATCAGTTGTCTAAAGAGTCTACTTCTTTTGCCTTAACTTAATTTCTCACTGTCCAAATAAACATAATAATAAAGGAATTCATGAACAATAACATTCCATTTTCTATAATACTATCCAAATTCTGAGGCTGTCCACCAATCATGATAAAATGTTCTGTCTGGAAATCTCAGTAGTTCTGCCCATCCATTAAACCAACTGTGAAGTAAACCAAAGAAGACCAGAACGAGTGAAAAAGTTGATGGCATCATTAACTTATATAAAGTAACAATGAAATTCATTAAAGTCAAGTTCTCTCTAAAAATAAATTATAGTAATACCTCAATTAAAGTATTGGTTCTTTACAGAAAGATCTGAAGAGAATAAACCCGTAATAAATGCACAAAAAGAAATTTGCGAATTCTATGATGACCTTTTTCTTGGAGTAATTTGGAGCCTTAACGTAATAGTCTCTGTATAACAAAGTTGGTGCCAAGAAGAAGTAAGTGTACCTCTTGAGTTCTTAAGAAAGGGATTAAATATTGATGTCAGGAAGCAAAGCATTTTGTTTAGTGATTCCCTTCCTTTCAAATGATTGCAGAATGAAGTATTTGTATTTATTCTCTGTGCCATACAACATCTTGTTTCGAGCATAAGAATAGTTTTTCATCATCATTCTGACTGCTTCACACATCACAATCATCCTTGAACCAAATCCATTCTATATTAATTTAACTTATTTACCACCCAAGCAGTTGTCATATAACAAGCTGCCAAAATGCTTATTATCTAATGAAGACTGAATACCAGAATGGCTGTGAATGGCTTGATCTTATTTGAGTAACAGTAGGTCACCCAATACACAGTCAAATAACTGGATAATACTAAAGCAAACCAAATTTCTGCTACTAACAAAGGAGTCTAAAAGCACCAGAAGAATGTATCCATATCAAATATGATACCTCTCTCCAAATAGTCCTATATCCATAGATTGCCCATCAAAATAAACATGCTTGCCATCATCATGTGGTAAAGAGTTTTATAATCAGACTATTTCAACATCTCCGACAAAAGAGACGGCTTATATCTATAAAATAATCTTTTCATTCCTACCTGAACACTTTCTCCATTTATCTTTCTTGATTTTATACTGAACATACTTTTTGGTCAAATCGGTCATCTCTTAATTCATTGATAGTTTTAGAAATCTGTTATTCAAAATGTTCCATGTCCTCCCTTATAGAGTCCTCTAATTTCTTTTAAGAATGCAGTATTCTATTCTCTATGTGGTTGATCATCTTAGCTTTGTACTCAAGTAGATCATTCTCCAAATCCTTATTGACAAACTCTTTAAAATATTAGCTGATATCCTTACTTTTTTAAGAGGCAATAGCAGTAGTGGGTTAAGAAGAATCATTCTCTTTTTCAACTTTTTTCGATTGTTACTTCTTTCTCATAAAAATATAATTTATGATAACCAATAATAAACTTGACCCTTAGAATAGAATAAAAAGAAACGGCTAACTCATGCATATTTCTGATACTTTCTATCAATTTCCCCTATACCTAGCACTATTAGGATTATCTAAGATTCCTAAATTTGCACTATCAAAAGAATGGCCTCACATATTTCGAGATTGGTTGAATTGGAGACTGTTAAGGAAAACATGAGCCAGCTTTCTTAATTTTTAAATACAACATTAACTTATAGGTATGCAAAGTTATATTTATATATTTATTTGCAGTAGAGATTTTATGTTATTTTTAATGTATCAGATTATTAATATATTTTATTTTAAGTTGATTATGATTATTAAATACAAAGCACTCACTTTGCTAACCACTTTTCTAATTCCTTAATGTTCAATTATACTTCCTTACATATACTGTGATTGGGCCCTAGTACCTTTTGATAATGTTCTAATGACATTTAAAAGTATTTCTTTGCTTAGACAAATTTGTCCTAAGTTCCATACAACACTCCAAAATTGTTGTAGATATCTCCTAAAGTAATCAAATCTGAAGCAGATTTACTATTAGCAATTAAACTTGCAGCAGTTTAATAAAACTATTCAGCAGATTTAAAATCTTTAATCTTTCTGTAAACTAATCCCATATTATAGTATATTTTTGCCATTCTTGTACTTTCATTATCATTTCTCTTCATAAGAAACTCTATTCCTTCTCTATAATGCTCCAAAGCTTTATCATATTTCTAAATTCCCATATAAGACGCACCTAAATTCTTAAGTATATCAGCCATGCTATCAAATCTCTCATCAACAGTACATTTGACTAAATTGTCAAGATAAAATTATTTCAGTTAATTGTATTGTTACAGTGCCTCTTCATATCTACCTTCTTCAAGAAGGCTTTGAGATAGTAATTCCTAACTTTTCACAGTCTATTTAGCATACTATCCATAAATTTGTTTCCTTAAATTATAAGATTCTTGGGCTGCTTTTATGGTTTCAGCCGATCTACCAATTTTTTAGAAACACAAGGCTATTTCAAACAGAGTGTCAGATAATCTCTATTAATTGGATTATTGATGTTTTCTATAGATTTCAGCTGTAATCGAATAAAATGAGATTGCCATATCAAATTGTTATTTTTCATAATAAACTCTCGCCAAATTATCATAAGTTGAACAAAGGATTGGACTGCGATCCCCACATAATAGTTTTTTGATTTGCAAGGCACTTTTAAAATATTTGATAGCCTGATCGTAATTCTTCAATTTCTTATGTGCCATTGCAATGTTTTATAAAATGACTGCTCCTCCTAAATTGTTCTCTCCAAATATCTACTCTTTGATTTGATAGGCTTATTCATAATGCTTAATGGCCTTTTCAAACTCTCCTTTTTTTCTTTTAACAATCCCCAAATTGTTATATCCATCTGCTACAGAAGAATGTTTATCACCGTTCAACTTTTTGTAGAGAGCTACAGATTCACAAAAGTTCTTCTCAGCTTCATCATACTGCTCCAAATCACAATTGACAGTTCCTAAACTATTCATAATATCTGCCTTAGCACTGTCTTTGGATAATTTGATAGCATATTTCAAAGCTAATTCATAATGAGATTTGGCATGTTCAGGCAAATTCAACTTTTCATATGCCTCTGCTAATTTGACTTCTCTCATCATTAGATCCTAAGCACTCAAATTCTAATTTAAATAACATCAACTTACTTTTTTATCTTATTATGTTTTCAAACAGTTTACGAATACATCTTCATTAGGTTTCTTAAATAAATCTTTATAAGTGGAAATGAGTTATAATAATTCTTCAAAAGAAACACGCTTCTGATCATCATATTCTAACATTTTAATCAGTATCTATTCAAAAATTGAAGGCGATTTCAATTTCCTTAGCATTTCAACTTCAATTTTTAATGATTCTCTATCTAATCTTGGAATTAGTTTGCGCATCAACAAGAATGTGATTCCAACTGAATAGACATCAGATGTGTATGGATCATAGTTTAAATGTTATTTACCCACAAAGAAACGACCTTCCTTGTCTTTTTGTAAATCACAAAAAAAATAAATCTCAGCTAAAAGAAATAATATTTTATTAATTACGAGCCCAATAAGCTGGAGATCCACGAACAGTATTTAATTAAGCTTATTTAGGCTTGAGGAATTTGGCACCTCCTAAATCTGCAATTTTGTAAGATTTATCTGCTTAACAATATAGGATGTTTTAAGGTTTTATATCACGATGAGTGACATTATGTTTCTTCATAATTACAAAACCTTCAACCAACTAATATAAAATGTACAGCAATTCTTCATCAGTCCATTTTGTTTTATTCTCTTCTATTCTTACCTTGAAATATTAAAAGGAAATGTACCTTTAGGAGCTCCATTAGATTGCAATCACACAATTCCATTACGATCACTAGGTATTTGTTATCATCCTTTATGCATGGATAAATATCATAAATCTTAAGCAACCCTTGACAATTAGTTTATGATAATGTTTGCATAATAACAATTTCTCTGACAGCTGCCTTAAATTCAGGATCCTAATCACTTTCATCGTCATAGCCGATAAATTTTAGAGCATATTTCTTCCCTGTCTTTTAATCCAACGATGCAAATACTTATCCAAATGTACCTGCTCCGATTTCCTTAGTTATGTAACCTATCTTACCTGCTTGATATCGAAGATTTCCCAATTATAATTTTTATTAGCTGCTTTGTCCTTTATCTATTCGATCTATAGCTTCATTGCTGACTATAAATCTGATGGCTCTATCACCACAATAATTTGATTCTGATTCATTCTAATCGTCATCTTCTCATCCTTCCCTCTATGCTTTAGAGATTTAGTTTCAAAGTTATTTGATTCCATTAAAAATTATATATAATGCAATACTAATAACAACGCATTTCAACTACTCAAGAGTATAAATATACTTCACAAACCAAAAGCGCAAGGACTAACACTCCTAAAACCCCCCATAGTCCTTATGAATTCTCTTTAGATTCAATTAGATCATCTCAAGAAAATAGATCATCTAAACTAACTCCTGAAATTAGTCAATTCTTGATGGCTTGTGAAATTGAAAGACTCTCATCTGAAAATGATAAACTAAAATTCAGAATCAAAGAAATGTAAGACAACTCATAAGATAAGCATCATTTAGAACTATAAATCATTGATTTAACTAATAGATTAAAAGACATATCAAANGGAATTAGTTTGCGCATCAACAAGAATGTGATTCCAACTGAATAGACATCAGATGTGTATGGATCATAGTTTAAATGTTATTTACCCACAAAGAAACGACCTTCCTTGTCTTTTTGTAAATCACAAAAAAAATAAATCTCAGCTAAAAGAAATAATATTTTATTAATTACGAGCCCAATAAGCTGGAGATCCACGAACAGTATTTAATTAAGCTTATTTAGGCTTGAGGAATTTGGCACCTCCTAAATCTGCAATTTTGTAAGATTTATCTGCTTAACAATATAGGATGTTTTAAGGTTTTATATCACGATGAGTGACATTATGTTTCTTCATAATTACAAAACCTTCAACCAACTAATATAAAATGTACAGCAATTCTTCATCAGTCCATTTTGTTTTATTCTCTTCTATTCTTACCTTGAAATATTAAAAGGAAATGTACCTTTAGGAGCTCCATTAGATTGCAATCACACAATTCCATTACGATCACTAGGTATTTGTTATCATCCTTTATGCATGGATAAATATCATAAATCTTAAGCAACCCTTGACAATTAGTTTATGATAATGTTTGCATAATAACAATTTCTCTGACAGCTGCCTTAAATTCAGGATCCTAATCACTTTCATCGTCATAGCCGATAAATTTTAGAGCATATTTCTTCCCTGTCTTTTAATCCAACGATGCAAATACTTATCCAAATGTACCTGCTCCGATTTCCTTAGTTATGTAACCTATCTTACCTGCTTGATATCGAAGATTTCCCAATTATAATTTTTATTAGCTGCTTTGTCCTTTATCTATTCGATCTATAGCTTCATTGCTGACTATAAATCTGATGGCTCTATCACCACAATAATTTGATTCTGATTCATTCTAATCGTCATCTTCTCATCCTTCCCTCTATGCTTTAGAGATTTAGTTTCAAAGTTATTTGATTCCATTAAAAATTATATATAATGCAATACTAATAACAACGCATTTCAACTACTCAAGAGTATAAATATACTTCACAAACCAAAAGCGCAAGGACTAACACTCCTAAAACCCCCCATAGTCCTTATGAATTCTCTTTAGATTCAATTAGATCATCTCAAGAAAATAGATCATCTAAACTAACTCCTGAAATTAGTCAATTCTTGATGGCTTGTGAAATTGAAAGACTCTCATCTGAAAATGATAAACTAAAATTCAGAATCAAAGAAATGTAAGACAACTCATAAGATAAGCATCATTTAGAACTATAAATCATTGATTTAACTAATAGATTAAAAGACATATCAAATATTATTGAAATATACAAATATGAAAAATCTGAATTAATCATGTAAACTACAACATTACAAAAAGAAATTTAATTTTAGAAACAATAACAAACAGATTTTTATGAAAGTCGAATATCTAATCTCTTAAATGAAGTTGAAAATCTTACGACCTAATTAAGAGAATTTGATGCTCTTAAATTTGACGAAATTTAAATACTAAGAAACGAATTAGAATTTGCAATGAAGACTGAAATTGTAACATATAATCTATAGTATATTAGGAAAAGAAAAAACAGAAACAAGAACTCAATTCTTAATTTTAAAGAGAATTTCTCGAAAAAGAGTTGAAAAAGTGGAAAGATTTGTGTAATCAAAAGCAACAAGAGAATGATGATCTCAAAAATACAATCTTTTAGAAGGAACTCAGTTAGTAAAGAGAACTAGAAAATTAATTATTATCATATAAAAATGAAACAGAAAAGATCAATAAAGTATTGGTCTCTAGATAAGAAGATATTGAAATTTGGAAGTAAAAATATTTGAAACTTCAAAATATCAATGATGATTACAAAAAATTATAAATTGAAAATCAATAATTTCTTGATAAATTTAAAACCTAAGAACAAAAGATTACTCTATTTACTAGTTAATTAAATTAATACCGATAATAAATTGAAAATGCAAATGCTCGTAATCTGTTGAGTTTTATTCTTAGTCATTTTGGCTGAAAAAAATAAAACTAGTTAAATATTTGATTAATTAGCCGAGACGGACAAAAAGAAATCTGAATTTGAGAACAGATACAAAAACCTTTTGCTTGAAGTTGATAAACTAAATGAAATTAATAAATCTAAGGAACAACTTGCAATAACTCAAAATATCAAGTAAGATCATCTTCTATTTATTCAAGGATAGAAGAATTTCAACATTCACTCGTTTAGTATCGTTCTTTAAATGAAGAAAAAGCATAGGAAGTAGAAACTCTTCGCAAATTTATAATTAAGTTATAACAACAAATAGTGTAATTAGAAGAATAAATTGATTAACTTAAAAGATTCTAGGAAAATGTAAAAATACCTCTAAGTTTAGTGTCGAGTCTTGTCAATAGAAATTGATAGACTGAATTAAGAAAACAAGGAGTAGGATCTAGAGTTGAGATAATGGAGAATGCAATATGCTGATTAGGGATTCATTATAAAGAAACTCTAAGATTAACTTTGTGTGATAGTAGTGCTAGTAAGTGAGATTGAGAGTCTAAGATCAAGATTATTAGAGAAAGATTTAGAATTAGAAGATGCTAGAAGATCTAGTCTTGCTCCTTATAAAATATGAATCTTAAGTATCTTAATTGAAATATAAAAATAATTACATATTAATTCATTATTCAAAAATGAAAGTTGTTCAAGCACTCAAATCGACCAAGTTTCCCTTTGCTTCATTTACTAACAGAGATGTTAAGTCCGATTTTCAACTCTTGAAACCTCACTTTGAAAACTTAGTCCCAGATGAGTACTTATAGAAACGATTAAAATTGCCAACCAATAAAATAATGAGAAAGAGAAGAATGATGAATTATCATATAGAATTTGATAAAGATGGAAACATGACTAGATTCCATGAGGAGTACCGTCTTGATAATTATGATGAAACAAAGTGCTTACAACATGCAAATGTTTATGAGGAATTAACGAAGGAGATGAAACAAGATCAAATATATAAAGATTTTCTCTATAACACTCTTCAAATAACTTGGCAACTGAAATAGTTCCAAAAGGCATAAATCTCAGTTCATGCTGTTCGAACTGTATCATACTGTAAAATATTAGATATCCTACGTTGATTAACCTGCTTCCCCTACGCCAGAAGGTCCAAATAGAGATGGAAACGATTTAGAAATAATTGGTGTAATAAATAAAGTCAATTGTTAAGGAGCAGAAAGCTAGATTTACAGCTCTGATAAATCAAAATTATTGTTTGAAATGAGTCTAGAACCAGGAGAAGGCTATATAATTGATGATAAATATTTGTGGAACTATGCAACATCTCACAAACCTATTGATGAATCTTAACCTGGCATAAGGGACATTTTAGGTTTTGTGCTCAAAATTGATCATTGAATAAGCATTAAATTAACATTTTTATAATGAAATTAGAGCAATTATATTAAAATCAGAAAATTAATATATTTTATTAATAAATAACTAAAATCAGTTCTCAGGACTAACCCTAAATTTTTTGATATAGTTAATTTGTTAATTGTTTTATTTCATTTTCATCATCATCTTCAAACAGAGTATCCTTGTAATCAAATAGATTTGCGCTTTCAATTAGAAGCGATTAAAGTTTCTCAATTTTAATATCATCCCTTATAAAATGGATCTTATTTTTATTATAATTCAAATGACTAAATGCCTCAATAAGATTTTCTTTGTCGTGAATTTAGTCATGACTCAATTAAAAATTAGTGACAAAAATGTCTATTAAATTTGAAAATTTTTAAAAGCGTTGAACATCCTCCAAAAAATATTCTTTCATATTTTTTGGATTATCAAAATTAACAATCAAATAAAACCTTTGTATATCGTTGATATTTTTTCTGTAGTATTAAGTCAATTTGGATATTGTTTTTAATTTTTTTTCTTTCGAATCATCTTTTTCAATAGAAAAAGGGGAATTCACTAAATCTAAATTATTTCCAATTGAAAATTCTGAAAACTAGTCAATATCTAATTTAATTGCTTAGCAATTATTGTTTTTTTCACATGCTAAATTAAATAATTATGTTTTTTCTTCACCAGAGGTTCCAATCAAAATCAATTTTTTTACATTTTGCGTATTTTACCTTGAATTGCAAATTTTAAAAAGAGAAACAATCGTTACCATAATTGCTATAAAGAAAATGACAATAAATATCTATTTCTATTAGCAGTCGTTAATTTCTGTAAAGATCTTCTATAATTGCAGTAATGCATCTTGCATTTTATTAAGAATAATAATATATATAAATGAAAAAGCATAAAACTTAGAAATTCATATTCTTTCTTTTCTTATTGATAACTGTAACTATTACATTATTCGATTGCCTTCCTATTAATCATATTCTTCAAAAATTGTGTTTCTTGGATGAAATTCTCCCTTCTTACTTACTTCTTAGGCAGCATTTAAAAATTATTGATTCAAATGCTGTGAATCTTTATTGTTATTTACTAAAATTATTCTCTTGTCTGCTGGTGCAAATATTGACAAAGAACTGTAAAGTTCTGAAGAACTCTTACTTTGATCATCAGCTTTTTCAAATGAAGTAATAACAATTGTAATCAAATCTTTATATTAGTGGAACCATTTAATACAACTAAGCAAATTGGCTTTTATTATGTCAGTCCTTTCATATTCAGTAACTATATATAAGCATTTAATTTAGCTCTTAAGCAAAGCTTCTCTTTTAAAGAATTTTTAATATTCCCTAATGCATTTTTCTCGTTCATCTATTGTGTCCGTCAATGTTAAGAAAGGACATGAAACAACATAAAATTGATTTTTTTCTTTTTATTATGACCATAATTTATGAGATTAAAAATTATTTTGCTTGAAATTTGAACTTGTATTTTGTAGCTTTGTAAATAGTTTTGGAGAATAATTTATTCCCAAAATTAGTGCTAATTAATGTTGTGTACCATTTTTTTCCCTTTTGTTTCCTACCATTTTAATGAGAATCTCATAGATTAAGTTAATGATAAATTTGAAAAGGTTTAATATCATTATGTATAATAATGCTTGTTTATCAAATGAAGAAAGAAAGAGCATTGATTAATTCTATTAACAATAATTTTATAAATAATCTAATTTCTGTTTGATTCTAATTTAATCACATCAATTTAACAATAAAGTTGTTATAATTCAAAACTAACTAATGTACAACATAAAAATATTAGGTATTCTACAAATTTAGAAAATGATTAAAACATAATAGATTCAAATTTTCTTACCATCCTGCCACTCTCCTGTTTGTTTGTTGCCACTTGGATCGATGACTTCACCTTTACCATGTTACTTTCCATCTTTCCATTACCCTTTATATATTTTTCCATCTTGCCAATAAAATTCACCATATCCACACTTTTTATCCTCTTTATAATCTCCTAAAATATTGAAATAAAATCTACATACCTAAATATTTCTTACCATCAGGCCAAACAAAGACGCCCTTTCCATCCATTTTATTTTCCTTCCACTCTCCTTGATATCTTCTTTTATCAGCCCAAGTGTATTCTCCTTAGCCATGAATTTAGTTATCAAGAAACTATCCTTGATATTTGGCACCATCACTCCAAGAAAAAATACCATTTCCGTTCTTTTTACCTTATTTATACTATCCTTCAAAATATGAATTGTCTGGCCAATACTCTTTACCTTCTCCTTCTTGTAGGTTATCAACCCATTATCCTTCATATCGAGCTCCATCAAAATGATAATATATTCCAAATCCCTTTGCATTTCCATTCATCCAAAACCCTTCATATGCATCTCCATCTGCATAAACTATTCTACCATGTCCACAAATCATGTCATTTTACCATTAACCTTCATAAATGGACCCGTCCAACCAAAATTATTTACCGTAACCTTCTCTCTTTATGCCCTCCCAAGTTCCTATGTATATGACTTCTCCCTTTATTTAATAAGGAAACTGAGCTTAACCACTATGTTACACCTATTAGATCGGAATATATTTTCCAATTCTTTCGAGAGTTCTCTTGATGTTATTATTTGTGATTTCAATTGTTTATTCATAAAGCCTCAAATCAGGATGTTAAAGTTGCTAGGGAACCTCGGTCGGTTATTAAACGTCTTGTTTTTGCGATTGCTGTTGGAGGGATTTGAAATTATTTGGATCATCGTCGCTTTTCCTTTGTTCCAACTCCTGTTTCTTTTCATCTGTTATTTCTGCAGAAATTTCTTAGGCTATTAATTTCTAATTGTCTATAGTGACATATTGAAACTATTCAACAAATGCAGGAGTTTGAGAATTGCTGATAACTTGATGATTCAGTATTGGTTGTTGAGCACAACATTTCGCTCCCATGTATATATTAATTTTAATTTATAAAATAGATGAGTTAGAGAAAATTGTTCAGATACTACATCGATCAAAGCATTCAACAGTAAAATGAATAGAAGTTGTTTCTGACAAGAGTCAACAGATGGAGATTCAACACTTTGGACAAATCAAATTGTATAAAATATTTTATGAACTTAATTAGTTTTGAAATCCACTAGACCTATCAAACCCATACTATTTGGTTTAGCTTGTTTGGCAGTTTATGGTATTGTACATCTCTATAAGTAGATTGGACATACGGCTTTTATCGTATTGATGAACATCATTGATTTATTATTAACAATAAATATATAATTATAACAACATGTCTACTCATGTCAATCAAGCATAACAGAATTTAACCAGTTCACAATAGGAAACCAAGTAATTCCCTTATTATAAATAGTCTCAGAAATCGCATCAGATCGAGAAAATTGTTCATGTCAACAATTATTAAATTCTTCTTTGCCATAATGCTATTTTTACTGCTCAGTCTCCAGATCTAATATCACCTGGATGTTATTTCCATTTTTGTACTTTTGCTAATATACTATCTCATTGACTTTTTGAATGCCCTACACTATCATTTTAAGATGAAAAAATTGTAAATACGATTGTAAACATTCTTATTTTATACAGCAAGAAGAAAAAGTTATTGGGCTATCTTGGAGTCATAATATTTGATTTTTTTTATCTAACATGCTTATTGTTGCTCAAAAAAGTGGGATACCAATATTTTGTTTACAGTAATGTTTTTTTAGTTATTGCGATTTTAATGGACTTCTACTCCCTCTATCAAGATAGAGCTCTATTAGAATCATTAAAAATTTTGAATCAAATATCTTTATTGACAAGAATTTATGTAGCGATATGTTCGCTATTTATAACTTTGAAAATTGATAATATCATAGTTTGGAATTGGACTCCAACATTATGGGCTGTTTGGGTCGGTTTGATTTGTTTTATTGGTATTAGTGCAGGCTCTCTAATAGTAACATTTAGCAAGATAATATAATATCTGTTTGACAGATAGAATCTATAGAGATCAGAATGTATTTGTTCCTATAACAATTTTTAGTAATTTCATACATCTGGCTAACTCAACTGCTCATATTTGGAAGTGTTTCCATATCGTTAAGTTCTTTGGGATATTTAGAGTATTTAGAAAATCAACCAAATTATTCTCACAATTTCGTTGTGCAACAATATTTCGTAATTGCTGAATTCTTCGTCATTTTCATTTATTCCATTTATTTTCGTATAGATATATGCGAATAAATATACATAACACTCTAAGATGATGAACCAGCCAACTAATAATAATTTTCTGTTAACATATAAGGAAACAACTAAACTTAGTAATAAATCAATCCGACTTCCTCAAGAACTTAGATTCCTTAGGTTGTGTAAAAAATATCAAAAGCGTATTTTGGAATACCCTCCTTGATCAAGAAGGAAGGTGGTGATCAAGATTCAATTAGTGGATCACCAGTTCTTAAGAAATCATCGAAAGGGCATAAAAGAGCATTTTCCAGCTAAGGAGTGGCTTCATAGATGTTTTAAGAATTGGATCAAATAGTTATTGATAAGTAACCTCCTAATGCTTTAAATAAGACTACTTCTAATGAATTAAGATTTTAAATTGATAAAAAGAGATGTAATTCTCATTTAGTAACAGTAAATTATCATTTTTAATATTAGATTGCTCATGATGAAAGCATTTAAAATAGACAACACGAAATGAGTATAAGTTAGACCAGTAACATTTGTATAGTGTGTTATGAAAGAGGACCGAATGCAGTTTTTATGAATTGTGGTCATGGAGGAACATGTTATCAATGTGCTATTGACATTTGGAAATAAAAAACGGTTTGTTACTTATGTAGGAATGTAATATTTAGTATTAATCAAATTAGAAAATTGAATACATTTTGAAGGTTGATTTGGAGGACAGATATGGAGATTTATTTAAAGTTGTTTCTACTGCCTAAATGCTAGATTAATTTAACAAATGAAAAGCACACTTGTTAATTATATATAATTTTATATTAATATACTAATCATTTTTTATTTTAGACAATTACTTTGATAGTACAATTATTTTATTTTTATTGGGGATTTTCAAGATTTAATAAGACAAAATAGTCTGATTATGGCATCATCTAAAACTTAGCTATTTTGCCTTGCAAAGATAAGTCTTTGTGTTGTACAATTAAGAGATTTTACAGTTTTAACTCACACGTTACCTATATAGTATTATTAGCTTGATTAACAAAAAGTATCGAAACTCCTAAAAATAGAAATAACTAGAATACCTATTTCATGCTCTACAATAAAAATTTTTAGATTTTTAATTTCCTTGTATAACACGCCCTATTTGAAGTATATATATTCGAACACTGAAGGCTTAATTTTGAAGTCTACTTAACATTCAAAGCAAATCTGTGGAGACTTAATTAAAGCTCTGGGGTCATATTTGTAAAGCAATAATTTATATTCTTTTGGAGGTATCGAAACCTTTCTGCGAGTTTCCATTTATTAGGTTTCATTATTTATTAAATTTTAATGTTTATTAAACTAAAGATACTCTTCAAAATCAGAGTCTCCATGATTCTCATAATATATGTACATAAATCCTCTAGTTTTATCCATAATCCTCTATACCTATGGAAATCCTTCTTTTTAGAATGTATAAATATTTTTATTTGTTTTTGATATTTATCTGATAATTGCTATAATTAGTTCTCTTAAGTTTTCCTCATTTTATTTACTTTAATCAAAATTTTATGGTGGTTTCATCCCTTAGATTTACAATTTTAATATTTTTTATGAATTTTTTAATTCCTCAGATAGCGATTCAATATTATAAAACTCTGCTTGGCAAAGTAAAGTGTATTTTCCTTTTTCTAATTCTATTTTATGATAAAGATTTTGATTGAAATCATTAGTATCGGAAATTAACTAATAGCTTTTCTTATGATTCTTAAATAATAAAAATCTTATCAATCCATATTTTATTTCTTATTTTTATTTCTATGAATTAAAGTTTTAATCTCTCTAACAAATTGAGATCCAATAAGTATCTTTCTTGTTGATTTGAAAATTGTAAATATATGTATGTTCAATAAATTACAATTTTCTTTCTATTGGCTATTTCATTGTAAAGGTATAAACATGAGAATCTTTATTTAAATGGACTTAAAATAAGGGTTATTTTTGAAATTCATCCCAACTTAAAAGGAATTTTGAATCCTTTAATTTCATACCTGCATCACAAATTGATTATATGTTAATGGCTTATAATTCAACTTAATTTTCTTTTAAGGATGATATTACGTAGGCATTATTTCTCTATTTGTAGTTCACTTCAATATAAAAAATAGAGTTTTTTTCTTCTACTAGAGTTCGCAATTCTTCAATTTTATTTATTTAAATTTGTGTAATTGGTTAACCAGTCAAAAGCTTAAATATACAACATCAAATTACATATACAAACGATTATATCGAATTCGTTACTAGATGATTGAATACATTGTAACTATTGCCTAGTAATTTAGCAACAGCTTTTTCAATAATTATAGCCCATAAATAAGTGCATTTGAACATAGGTTCAAATTAATTATCGCTATTCGTAACACAAGGCACTTAATCATTTACAATGACTAATTTCCATTCTCCTTGGTCACAAAGCCAAATAGCAAAGGGATTTTCTCTAATCTCATAAATATTCCTCATAAGTTCAATTTCTGATTGCAGTACATTAATAGCATTGATTAGAGCAAAATTATTATAATATTCTGAAATTTCAAACGATAAGCAAGCACGTAATGAATTTGGTATATCGATATCATCTATGGATTAAAATGAAAATTTTGTAAAATTATTCAAGTTTAACGGACAATCTGGAGTTCCATTGCTGCTATCTTATTATGAAGTTATAATTTATCTCTCCCTTTTGTAAACACTTAAAATTCTGTCTTACATTTAATAATATATATTTATATTCTATTATATAACCCATATTCACAATCTCTTAAATAACACTATACCTGTAAACCAATTATTTTACTTGGTTTATAGTCTTTTTTGCTTGATCTAATCAGAATTTGGAGATACTTTTACGATTGTGAAGATTGCTATTAGTTTCTAACAGGAAAACAATAATAAATCCAATAGACAACTACTTAATAAAGTCGATTTTTCTTTGTTAAAATAAGTAAAAGTTTGTTTAATTTTTGGAAATACTACTAATTTATTCTTGAAAGCAACATTTATATGATTTATTATTATGAGATAGTTTATCTTGACTACAATTCTCTTTTCCAATAGACTAGTGCAATTTATCTAAATGGATGTCTTTAACTGCCTGCATATTTATGCCACCAAATTTTTAAGGTAGAGTTTGTTTTATAACTTCATTAAGGAACTACCTAAATTTCATTGCATTAATTGCTATCCAACCATTTTAGATTTCATAGTTTTCCTTATCAATCAAGAGGAGAATACCTCATTTTGATTGTTCTTTTCTTATTTTAATGTAAGAGATCTCTTTATTATATACTGTCTTCTATCAATTTTAAGGTCGTTTATAATCTCAAACTTACTTTCTGTTACAATTTTAAGTTCTGAAAAATTTGGTTCTAACATTTGCTTAAAAGATTTCTGCTTCTTAAATCTAGTACTTTACAATTAAACCAAAGCATTAATAATTCTTTTTTAAAGCATTTTAATTTTTTCATGGACGATTCATTCGAATTAGATATTCTGTGTAAATAAAACCCTAACAACTTATTCCTTTAAAAAGAAACACGGATTGTTAACTATCTTAGATCTTTGGGAATCAAAATGAAAACTGATCCTACTATCAAATAAGAACTATTCCACTCTAAAAGAAAACAGCAATTCACAAAGTCAAACACAACCCAATTTGACATCATTAGCATTAAGCAATTGGAAATTTCTTCAAATTCAATTAAATCTCGCAGAACACCATCCCATACTCCTTAAAGTTCTCCTTTAATGGTTAATTAAGAAAATGTTGGGCAAACTAGAAAGTCTATCTTCTCTATCAGATTAGATGGCTTCGGAGATGAAAATTTAGAAGATGAGGTAGGAGACTATTTTACTAATATGTGATTAATCAATATCATTATCTATATACATCATAAACACTTTTGTTCAGCATATGTTGGGGTACTGGCTCATTTTTAATTAGTTTTGATACGATTGACATCATCTTTTGCTAGTTGTTGAATTTCTAAACTTAATTATGAAATTAAATACATTTTTAATCTCCTTCACTTCTTCATAAATTGAGGAATTCAAAGCGTTTGTACATGATGGATCATCACATTTCACATTGTAGGAATTCATCCCAAAACCTTCATTATCTTCTTCCAACATTTTTTATGTTTTCTAATACTTCTATATCACTAATTTGATGCAGTAACAAAGTGCATATACAAATTTAACATTCTCAGAATTGTTGGCCAATTGAATAAGTATTTTTACAAAAGAACCTGTAACTTCTTATGAAAAATGTCTTTTCTTTATGAATGCACTGTCTAATATTCTCAAGATCAAACTCTCCTCCTCCTCAGTAATTTTTATTTTTTTGTTTGTCCACATGTCCAATAAACAAACATAAAATCGCTGCATTGTTTCCTTGTCATCTATGCCAAAAACAGAAGCTGGTCCATCCATTATAGATTACAGTGCAAATATGGTTTTTAATCTTAAGTTAATATATTTCAACAAATTATCCTTTTTCTATCTAAGTATGTTGGTTGAAGATAATAAGCATTCAAAGATTCCCTAGATTAATTCAATGTTTATCAAATGAACATATTACAAAATTCCATTTAAAGCAGATTCGTAATATTTTGATACTCTAGGCAATTTGAGTACTTTAAAATAGATATAAAATATTTTTGAAAGAACCTCTCCATTCTAAAGCATTAATATAAAAATATTACATTTTTAGCCAAGGTCTTTTTATCTAAATCTCCTTATGCTTCTTATAATTCATCTTAAACCTCTTTTAACAATTTCTTTTATTTAGCCATTTCCTCTTTAGTCAATTTTTGTTTCTTTTTATCCTTCTCTTTCTAACTGAAGTATTCTCTTTTCTTTTGCTTTACTACCCTCTTCTTTTCCTTTTCTTACTTCTCTAACTCCTGAGGTAAAAATTTAGTGTCTATCTATATTTAATTAACTAAATCAACAAGATTATCTGGTAATTGATCTTCATGCTTAGTCTGATAAAGCTTTTGTATTTGTGTTAATATTTAGAGTTTGGCTTCATGTAAAGAATGCTTCTTGTTTCTTAAAATATTGGCGAGAGAATTGTAACATATATCATTACAAGTCAGTAAACCATAAGTAACATATTGAACCAATTCTCTATTGTAATTAAAATGGAATAATGAATTCAATAATTTGCATAGACTATGAATAATTATGATAACTACCTCTGATAACAGGTTTCCACAAGCGGGCCTTAAGATATTAATTTAACAAATGTAAATTGAGCTTTAATAAATTGATAATAATTTTTTATTAAACTCAATTCAAAGTTAAGCACTTATTTTTCTTCTTTTTTTATAAACTTAGTGACTTTAAATTCGTGGGCCTATTAATCAATTTTGTATAATGGAGCGATATCAATAAATAAATCTGTTAATGCCATAATTGTCATTTGAACAATGAACACATTTTCATGTTTGAGTAATTCAATTAATTAAGGCAACTCTGAAATCCTCTAATCTGGGTTTGCCTGAATTTCTGTTACCTTTTCCTCAATCATATGAGTAATCTAAGTGAGAGTCATTGTTCTTTGATTTTCAGACATTGATTAAATTATTAAATTAATTTATAATGTTATTGTCATTCTTTCTGAATAAAGCAATACTATTATAATTTTATATTAAGAAATCTAATATGTTTAATTAAGTGACACGATTATAGTGTTTTCTAGATTGAATTCAAAATAAGAAACTATTTTTATTAAATTAATAATGTCCAAATATTCTGTAATTCTGCCAACTTATAATGAAAGGGAGAATTTGCCAATCATTACCTACTTGATATTTGAAATGGCTAAAAAGAAGTACTCTTGATTATAATACAAGTAATCTGGATTTTGAGATCATCATTATAGAAGACAACTCCCCAGATGGCACACTGTAAGTAGCACAAGAGCTAAAGAAAGTATATGGGGATAAGTTGATCATCCATTTCAGAGAGAAAAAGTTAGGTTTGGGTTCTGCTTACATGGATGGGATCAAACTTTGTCATGGCAATTTCATTGTCATTATGGACGCAGATTTATCACACCATCCAAAATATTTGGTGGACTTCATCCAAAAATAGAAATAAACCAATTGTGACATTGTGACAGGATCTAGATACATCAATAAAGGAGGTGTTATGAATTGGGGATTCGATAGAAAACTCACATCTAGAGGTGCCAATTTTCTTGCATCAACAATGTTGGGAGTGAAGTGTTCTGATCTAACAGGAAGCTTCAGACTCTACAAAAGAGAAGTCCTAGAAAAAGTAATTAAAGATGTAGTTTCAAGAGGGTATGCCTTTCAAATGGAAATAATCATCAGAGCAAGACAATATGGATATACAGTAGAGGAAGTATATATTTAAAGTAAATAATTAAAGGTACCCATTGTTTTTGTTGAAAGAATCTTTGGAGAATCGAAATTGGGAGCATCTGAATTTCAAATATACTTAAAAGGATTGTGGAAATTGCTCTGGACATTCTGATATCTGAATATAAATATTTACATAGATATATGTCGAAAATAAATCATAGTTTCTTAGACTTCTCTATTAACCAATCGACCACTTACGTTATATAGTTACCACTCGAAGCACTACCCATTGCAACTGCCCAAACATTAGATGTTATATAATCCAAATTTAGACCTTTTAATCTAATTGATAACTTTACCTTCTATCATATACTTCTCGTATAAATGTGGATTTACATCAATTTTATTTCCAATCACTAAAAGTGGAATATTATGCAACGACTTATTATCTAATAAATTGTGCAATTCCTTCTTTGATGTTCCAAGAGAGGCTTGCTTTATCTCTAATTATTATGTTTAAATTTGAAGTATCAAAAAGAAATATTATTGCATCACACCCTTGAGCATAATTGCCCCTCTCTGGTCTATGTTAAACTTGTCCTCCAATATTCCAAATCATTTTATAGATGTTTATAAATACATTCATAGTCACCCCTCCTTTTTTTAGAGTCCGGACATTCAATCTTACTGTAGGTACTGTAAATGAAGGTTCCCCCATAGAAAGTTAATTCAACATAGTTGTTTTTCCTAGATTTTCCAATCCAACCATACATTTTTCAAGTTTAGAATTTGAAATAAATAAGTATAGCTTCTCTAATAAATTGCCCATAAGAGTATAATAATCGAACTTATATTTATTATTCAAAATCAATCCTCTACTAAACTAATGTTACTTATTTCTTTCAACATCAAGCAGCTAAAAAAATTATAATTGTTTATAAAAATCATTTATTTTCAGAGTCACTTACAAAAACATTTAATTTCATAACTATTTCAAGTCAAAATTAAATGAAAAATCAATTTTAATTTAATTCTCAATTTATAAATTGATATAGCGTAATTGTACTTTATGTATTTAATTGCTTTATTTTAGGATGAAGATGATATAAATTAGCACTCAAACTAGTAATAAAACCCTGTACCATTAAATAAAATAATAAAACTCTATTTTCTAGAATCGGAAATTTTTAAATTTTAGATTTAATTTTGATTTTATTTCTAAGAGAATTTAAATCCATTTTAATTGATTTAAATCAATGAATGTGTTTTATTAATTAAATTCTAGTCCTCCATGAAAAAAAGCATTTTATCAAATTTTGAAACCTATTCTAGCTTCAAAAGGAAATAATCTTAACCTTTAGCAACTGCAAGACAAAATTAATCGCAAACACATTTAATCTAGGCTGATTGTAAAACCCCAGAAAAAACAAATTTTTCTAGATAAAAGACTCCATCAACTAAAAGCAAAGTAAAAACTTAGAACATTGATAACAAAGAGAACGAAAACAGGACAATCAATAGGAATAGTTCCTCAAAGAAATCCTATAGATAGACCTAAGAAAAATAAACAAGCAATTTGATGAAGTAGATTAATGAAATGTTAAATCAAAAATCAGTCTCAGTTCCTGAGATTATATAAGAGACAAAGGATAACAATGAAATCAATTAGTTTGGATAAACATAAGTCTAAAGAGCATTTGCTTAGAATAAAGTTATTAAGATATAAGATTTGTTTAGTTAAAATTAAATTACAATAAAAGAATTAGAAAAAAATTGGTAAGCATAATTGAGTCAAGAGTCTGAACTAATAAGATCTTTACAACATCATGAAAGCATTTAATAGATTAGAAGTGATTCTAAAGAGAACCTATTGAATTCTTTGATTCCCTTGGAAAATTCAACAGTCCATTAACCATTAATATATGTTATTGATTTAGCATTATTATGAAAAATGTTTAATTTAGTAATTTATTGATCATTAGGTTTTCTTTAATTTTTTCTCTTTCTTTACAGCTTTCTACATTTCTTTTTAAATTATAAGTTTATATTTAAAATTTATCACTTCCAATTAATGTAATTAAGCCTAATGTAATTGAGATTGTTGATAATTCGGCATTAATTTATCATTTAAATGAGTCATGTTTTCTACTATTTTTTCCATGTTTTGTATCTCTTTTTTAATTATTTCCATATAGTCCGATAGATACAATGCTTTTTCTTCAATAATGTTTCTTTGGAAATGTAAAGAGTCAATCAGTTCAATTAAATTTGCAAAATCTTTGTTTAGCTCCTTTTCATGTACACTTACTACTTTCTCTAAAGTATCTTTAAGGAAGGTCTTATATGTTTTATTAAAAAACATGATGAGTTAGTCATAGTTATGTTTCGCAAGATACTCTGTGAAGATACTAAATAATCTAGAATTTCTGGTTTTATTACTTGATAAAAATTTCTGAAATTTCACTTTAGATGTTTTGTGTGGTCAAAAATGTTTAATCGAATATTTTACTGTAATATACATCTTTCAAATAGTCTGTGATTTTTTTGGATTGAAAACACTCAATGATTTCTTTATTAAAAATAATGTATTCATTTTCGAATTGATCGATTTTAGTTAAGAATTATGAGTATTTCAACTTGAAATAAGAGAGCTCTTTAAACATATGCATATCTTCAAAAACATTTTCCTATATCTTCATGCGTTCTTGAAAAAGTAATTGATAAATTTCAATTGAAGGTAATATAGGTATAATTTATTTTTAGATGTTGTCTTCATATTGTGTCTAGAATTCTCCAAATTAATCATCAATTATTTACTCAAAAACCTTATTGTAAATCACATCTTTAATGATATCATTAATTTTTTAGTAATTCGACACAAATTCTGCCAAAACTTCTGCCAATTTAAAGAAGCATCTACAATTTAAATTAAATCCTCTCCATTTTTTCAGAGGAATAAGGCGAGAACTAAATAAACTAATATCTTATTTACTTATTTTGCTTGTAATCATAATATTACCACTGAAGATCTATTAAATTTGAGGGAAATTTTTTAGAGTATGATACAAAATCACAAAATGTTTTCAATTCATTGATCTATTGAACATCTAATTCATCTTATTCTATCTCTACTATGTTGAGGGTTTAAAGTCTTGAACCAACTTATTTGAATAGTGTAAGGAATGTATTAAATTGTTGGATAGTTTAACATGTAATGAACAATTCATCAGCTAATAATATGGAATAATTAATTAGTTTAATATTTTATTAATTGATATCACCAGTTATATAGCATTCGAGTAGTAGTACATCAGAATTGTAAGTTTAGGCAATATCTTTGGAGATCCATACTCCTAATAGATCTTCTGATGAATCTAACTTGATATTTAAGAAAATAGAAATTTAACTTTGATTGTTAATTTCGTTTGCCTAAAAATATTTTCCAAAAGCATTACTAAAATGGTTTTGTTTTTCATTTCAAAATGTTCATTACATAATTAAATATAGTCCCCATTCATACATCTATATTAAATCTGCTGGGAAATAATTGTATTGTGACTGAAAGGAGCATTTTGATTATCAATCTCCTCAAAATATTTTGGTCTGTCCTTCTAGTTGATTTAACTGGTATTTGTAGCCTATCCTGTATAGGATGAGAAATCAGACTCAATTGAATCTTTCCTACGTGATCTAGTTGGGGTTAATTAATATAAATATCTATTCCTCATTTATAATATTAATCACATTTAAGCATTGGGATGATGAACCCATGGTAACAAAGTTCCAAAAACAGCTTACAATAATCCTTGATTTGCATTAAGAGGATTGAAATTGGCTGGAAGTTATTGTTGAGGCTGCTATTATTAGGCACCAATATTCTCTGCAAAAATATTATTGAAATCAAGTCTATTTTTATTTTATTTTAATTTTTTTACCTTTCTGGATTCTCTAAAAAATGACTTTTCGATAACTCCTTATATCTTCTGTATTGGAAAGGAACTTCATTATAAATTGGGGCTCCTTCTTTAACAACAGTCAGATCTTCATAAAAGGATCCAAGGTCTAACTTTTGGCTTTTAATGTGATTCACAATTAATCCCAAAGCACTAAAAAGATATATCTATAATAAACTACCCTTTTATCCATTTAAGAATTTCATTCGTCTTCCATTAGGATTTACTTTTTTCAACAAAGATGCTTATTGATTTTAAAAATCCTTCGTTATCATCTTCAGAATCAATTTACAAGAACCAATGTAGATAAGTTTCTCGTTGTAGAAATTCTTCGGTCAATAATTCTTTAAATGGTTTCCTTTAATTATCAACAAAGCCATCTAGGTTTCCAACATTTTGCTTGACGAATTCATTTGCTTCCGCTAATTATTTGAGGACAATTGGATATAAAAGAATAGCTTAAATTATGAGAACTTAGTGGGACGCTTATAAAGGATGAGGACCAAAATTGTTAATAGCTTCGGTTATATTTTGATCATTAAATGTATAATGATGGTTTTCCCCTTTTTCTAAGAATTTAGCTAATGCACAATTGTATAGAAGATTAGGCATGAAAACAATAGAAGATCTATTGGTTTTATAGACACTTCTCGCAAAATTGGAAGTAAAATTGACCAAGTATTCATATTGTTAAGCCTTGAGTGCATTGCAATCCACAAGAAATAGTGCACCACATGGATCTCTTGTTGGACAAAATTTCAATAGGATTTTTGAAAACCTCAATTATAATATATAGAATACTCTAAAGCTGCTTTATAACATCCTTTCCTTGTTAGGACATCTGTAAATTTGAATAAGGACATTAAAAATACTTTGCTATGAGGATTTTCTTCAATCTCAAGGTTGATTGAAGCATCCTCAAAGAATTTGTTGAATCCATAACCTAAACTGCTTTCATAAATGTAAAGCAATCTCTCTAGAAGTTCATTGGCTTATTTATAATCTCCCTTTAATCTAAAGTATTCACTCACATCAAATTAGGCTTCACAATGAGAGGGATTCATCTACAAGAAATTGAAAATGGCCTATGGATCATAATAACCCTTAACAATTGTGTAATCTTATTAAAGTCTTTCATATTATTAAGATGCAACAAAACTGAATAATTACAAACCTTATTCATTTAAATTTCCTAATTTTACATTAAATTTATCAGGTAATGGAATATTAATTTCTGGATTATAGGTGAGATACAATTATTTGGCATTTTTATGTCCTTTCTTTTATTAGCCACCTGCAATTTTAGCATTTTTGAAGTGTTACTAGAGTTCTTTATTGTAATTCAATTTTTTGATGTTAATAGCCAAAGGACCATTTTCTTATGATTCTTAGAATTATATCATTTATGATTATTATTGCAGTTGTTGTGTTTGTTCTGCTTAGACCTTATCGAGGAATTCAAAATCATCATCTTAATTTTGTTCTTGTTTTTGACTTGTTTCTTATTATTATTATTTTTTGTCTTTCTTCTTTTTATTTTTATTCTTCTTTTTCTTCTGATTATTGTTGTTGTGTTCATTTTATGGTTAGGTTGTTTGATCTGATTGTTGAGTTTGACTTTCTTCATTTTTTTATTCTGGTTGCTATTCATCTTCCGAATCTGACATTTCCATCATTTAAAAGACTTATTTTTACTTTTTCTGTTGTTCAACCTGATGAACTTGCTTTACTAATTGTTCATCCACAACTTCTTTAGGTTCATTTTGCTCCATAAGTTTTTTCATCTATCTCCTCATGTTTATTCTTTAATAATTATGTATTAAAATAATAAATATAATTCAATCATCTACAGCGTAAATTAGTCTGAAAAAGTAAAATTTGAAACATAGAATCAAAGCTACGTTGAATGATATTATTGGAACAGCTATTAAAGTTGTTTGCTTGTTCTTTTTCATGAAACTATGAATAGTATTGTATATTAAAATTACTCCCATAAATTCACCAGCAAAAATATGGTGCTGTTCGCTAGTCCACACATCAAAAAGAACCATTAGGCTTCATTGTAGGGGATTATGCACAAAATCAGGACAAACATATAAACACTCAATGAATATCCGTACATACAGACTATTTCAAAGACTCCCAGTTCACTTTTTAGGATATATTTCATTATCACTCCTAATATTATAGGTATTATAAATGCCATAGCGTAGACCACCAACACAGCCACATACATATAATTGTATTCGTATTTGAAATGTCTCTTGTCCTCTTCCAGTAAGAAGCGAGATAGATTTCCTCCGGCAAATAAGATGAAGATAATTGTGGTTGAAATCCATAAAGGTCCCCATAAATCAGGGTTCTTACCAACGCATTAATAGAACTCAGGTTTCCAAGATAACAGAGAACAACGAATTCTCATGTATACATCCCTTTATTCAATATCGAAGAACTGCTAATAGTATTCAACTGTGCAAATGGGACAAGTAGAAGGTTTGGGTTTGGGTTCAAATTTCACTTTGATCTTAGGTTAATCAGTCATGACATGTCCTTTCTCATCCAAGTCATTCTAGTTTAGATAAGTAATACATTAGATCCAAAGTTTTGCATTATTAATTTAAAATATATATATATGCTTTTCTTGGTTTCATTAATTGGAATTGTATATTCGACATAATTAACACTTGTGGAACCTTCTTTAACAATCCCATCTACAAAGAATGCTTCAATGCCAGTCAATGTGGCTGATTTTGGTTATGTTCCATATGGGAGAACAGTTAGTGGAAATTTAACTTACATTGAAAACACTTGCAATCCACTCAACATAACTTTGAATTCAACTATTGTACTGACAATGGGAGCAACTTGCAAATTTTTAGCTCAAGCCATGAATGTCCAATCAGCAGGGGGGAAGATGCTTGTCATCATCTACAATCACGAGGAAGACATTAGTAACTTTTTATTAATTGCTGAATATGGATCATAATAATCATTTATACCAACTATGATGATTAACAAAGCGGATGGAGAATTTTTGATAGAAGAATTGAAAACTATGTCTATTTATGTTTCTGTCTCTTTTGAGTTGAAACAATAAGAGATTGTAGATCTATAATACTTTTTGTCATCTTTTGATTTATTTTCATATTTGTTTTTGGATGAGTTCCTACCATTTGCCAAATAGATGATAAACAAAATAACATTTGATCCAATCTACATCTAATTTTATTGTAAGGAATGCGAGAGGACTGGCTATAAGGCTACCAATCAAAATTGTATAAGTGGTGGTAGATATTGTGGATAAGATCCAGATTCTAATGGTCCCTTGACTGGTAGAGATGTTATTTTAGAGGATCTAAGATAAATATGTATTCTATAAAAATATGATCTCATCACATGGTGGAATTACATGATATTTTTCAATAAGTTGTGTTTCAACAATTATCAAGAATGTCCATCCAAAATAATGAAGTCTATTTCCATCAATGAGACTACTATAAGCAATTGTATGACATCTTCATTTGTTGGAAATAATTAATTATTAGATGATAATACTCTCTTGAAAGAGTAAAGATTTAAAATCATGAGAAATCATTAAGTCTATTGGCCCTCCTTATATATTAATGGGGAATTTTATAAGGGAGATCTATATTTGAATAATGCTAACGAAAGCACTGTCTTCAATGTTGATGACTTTGCAGTTCTCGAAGCTATTTGTGATGGATTCTTAGATGATTCTAGACCTACTCTTTGTAATGCAACTGGATTCTTTTCCATACAGGATGGAGAAATCAAAGATTGTAATATTATTAACTTATCCTTAGAAACAAGTTCCTTGATAATTATCCTTATATGGGTGGGAATTTCCATGCTTGTATTATTTTTGCTGTTGATCTCTTTCCTTTTTATACGCAGGATGATGTTAAAAAAAGTTAGGGATGATGTAGGCTCTTAAGTGGATACATATCTAAAAAACTATTATAAGATGCCAGAAGCCTAATGACAATTATTTTATTAATAAAATATCACAATTAAATAATTCTTATCACTTTATTATTGAGAATTATTAAAATTAAATCTCCTCTCTAATAATCCAACAATATTTATTCAGTATGCTTTAAATTGAAATTGCATATACAGAAAAGCAAGAGAAAAATACTTTTAGTAGATTTGCAAATAATAGGGTTCAAATTTTCATCTTCAAATGAATATTTTAGTTATTTATTTGAATAATAATAATATAAACCTTTAGTATCAAAATTTGATATCAACAATCGACTTAGGTTTTTATGTATTACACGTTTTTATCCAATCTGAAATCAATATTACAGATGTTTCAGACTCAGATAAATCCTCGTCTCTCTATACTTAATCTTGTCTCTAGAGGTTTGAAAACATTGAAATCATTTTATCTGAATTTTAAATTTAGTTTGATTCTTTGAATGAGTTACTATGTGTAATCGACGCTGTATACTGCAATGTAGGAGAACATTTTTCTAAATTTAAAATTTACTTAAATAAGGATTTTAAGTAATCATAATTAGGCATCTCAGTCTAAGGTAATCCATCAATATAAGTCTTAAATGCTATAAATTATTATGGAAATCTTTGCACCAGACTCATAGAGTTAAATACAGCATCCTTAATTTCCCCGATTTTTCGAATTTCTAACTGTTAGGATTAATATTGTTAGACTGTCTGCCATGGAAGCATCCCTAAATATTCGAATCAATAACTTACTATTTCTCAGGTACACTAATACGTATAGGAGACTTTCCAAATCATCTTTATAATGCAGTTAATTTCCTTTGTGAGCCCATCTACTTGCATATCTTAGTGAACCCACAAAAACCTTATTTTAAGAAATCGATTATCCAGCCTTCTGTGACAATCCAAAATCTATTAAATGAACAAATCCAGGTCTTGCAATTTCCTCTATCGGAACATTTATGTGAGGCGAAGTAATCATGATATTTTCTGGTTTTATATCAAGGTGCAGAATGTGTTTTTTATGAACTTATTCCAAAACCCTTAAAATACTTAATCCAATGCTCAGTATCTATGGTACTGTCATCGAATTGTCTTTTAGTATTTCTTAAAGGTTTCTTTTCAAGATGGGTGTGATCAAGTAGCTTCTAAGATAAATAAGTGAATAAAAATACCGAAAATCTTTGGTTTTACCGGAATCAATCAATTAGGGGACACCGTCTAGGCCCTTGAGCTGTTCAAGTCTTGAGATTTCAGTTTCAATCTGGCCTAATTAAGGGCTTTTTTCAATTTTCATGGCTAAAATTTGAGAAGTTGAATTGTGTTAAACCTTCATGACTTAATGACCAGAGCCAGAACCTAAATTGGAGAGTATTCGATATTCAGAGGCTTGAAAATTCATTTAGTATAATTAAATAATCAAAACCAAACTCCAATTAAGTTTATCTATTTTTTATAGCATATTAATCCTCTCGATTATCAGAGATAACAGTTTAAATAAATTCATCACAGAATGCACCAAACAGTCATTTATGATAGATTTTATATTGTAAAAATTTCATAGCAATTTATAAAAGTTTTTAAAAAGATTCAAATCTAATCAAAAAATCATTAAAATGAAATGAGACTTCTTCCCACCTATACCTCCATTCCTCTCTAGATTTACAGCCTTTCAGATCTTATTAGATGCAAGGTTCCAAATTTTGAGTGATTATCAAATAAATAAACTTTCTTCTCTTGTACCATCAACCTGGCATGGTTTCGACTAACAGAGATATCATTTACTCTGATATCCGTATCAGTTGATCTTCCAAGCTTTAATTCTTACACATTTTAAAACTTTAAGATGTAAATACCAGAACTGTTATTCCACTCTAACTACTGTCCCTAGATTTAGTTAGGTGAAGATTGTACTTATTTGTTTGTGAACTCCATCATCAAATAAGGGTAACCATTTGGTTTACTTAGTTCGACTAAATCATAATACGCATCATCACTCTTAAACTTTGGAGGATAATTAAATTTGCACAATTCACATTCCAAATTCTTCCACAAATACACTATGCAATTCTCACTTTGTCGATTTTCTAATTTCATTCTTAACCAAGTTTTTAGGCATTCCAAGTGTATATACTTTATTGATCCACTACATTTGCAAGGATTCAAAAGTGGGTTTTTAATGCTCTTTTGGGAGGAACAACAAATTCTGCACATAATTTATTCTGATGAATTAGATTGTGACGATTCATATTCGGATTTCTACTCCTATGGTTTAATTTCTAATGCGATCTGACGTATAGTGAATTTCACTCTCCCCAATTTTATAACATCTCCTTCTTGTAAAAGTACTCCATTTTCATGAATCACTTTCCAAATCTTATTCCCAAACTTATCAGACACAGTTCTTAGAATATATATTATTATAACTTGTTTACTATATTATGAGATTCCTCATTCTCTTAGATTGATTACTTTTTATCATCATTTTGAAAATTTGGATTTACAATAAAATAGTTTTCATTTTTTTTCTTGATTTTACAAAGCTAATCCTTAATTATAGATTCGTTCTCAATCCACTCTACTTAATTACGCCCAACCAAATAGCCTTCGTTATTTATCTACACGAGTTTTTTAAAGATTATTACTATAAATTTTTATTCCTATACATTTGCTGCATTCTCGTAATCAAACAGCGAAAATGCATCCTTCTGCCAAGTTTTTACTAGAACAATTAATTTTGTGCAATCAACGTTATTTGCTTAACTAAGACTCTTCTAATAACATTATCCTTAACAATTTCCCATATTAATTTTATTAAATTTTATGATATGATAACAAACTTAATTTAGTTCTCATTCCTAACTTTCCTTCCCAAACTTCTAAAGAATAAACTAAATTCTAAATTGAAATTAATTAACAAAGTCTTTTCACTTAAGACAATTAAATTAATTCTTGTTTCTGGAATCATATCAAATGGTTACTCAAATTAAATTTATATTATCTTTCTTCAATTTGTATTTCAACAAAGTAATGTATCAATCATCATCCATTTTCTAGTTTACAAATTGATAACAAAGAATCTTAAATTAATCGACAATCTATTCCCAATACCCTTAAATTCTACAATTAGATTAAGTTCTCGATTATATTGATCTTAGGATTAAAGATAATGCTTTAAATTTAAAATAGAAATTAAGTACTATTAAGTAAGAAGAAGCTTAGATAATTAATTAATAAAATGTAAATTAAATTCATTCTCAGTAATCTAATTAGTTTGTTGTATTTGATTGAAAACAAACACAGTTATAAATTACATATTATCCAATTAGGAGAATTTGTAGTTCCCATTTATAAATATTTAATAGATTTTATAATGATCAAAAAATTAATCATGTAATACTAAATCTATATAACAAACATTAATAATGACGAGACTGTTTAACACACAGCGTTTGATAATATATTGTTTATCAGTAATTTTTATTCTTTTTCTTATTATTGAAATAGCAAAACATTAAAATAAAGAATCATTTGTTTTCTAAGGCCTTTTTGAATTTATCTTCGATAATATCGCAAATTTATGATAAGCATTTCAATCCGTCATTCATTATTTTCTCTTTGGTTTCATTTACAGTTTATAAGCGCATATTCATCTTATTTTCACTTGGATGAGGTAAACTATAACCGCAAAATTCAACATTTGGTTAATTTGCTAAAATATAACGCAAGGAGTTTCCTAATGTGTGATCTTCATCAAAAAATACAAAGGTGCCATTGAATGGATCTGAATGTTCCTGTTTTTCATAATGGTATTATAAAGTACTTAAATTTCCATTCCTTTAGTTGCTTAGGCAAGAATGATGGGTTTGCTCAATTCTTCTTCTTCAATATTCACGTCTTGGTCTTCTGATTCGCTAGAATTCATTAATTAATTTTTATTATTAGATTATTTTTTTTTCCATTAACTCAATTATATTTATAATGTCAGACGGAATATTTGTCTCTATTATGTTGCCTGCTTTTATAGTGAAACACGAGAATTAAATTGTAAAATTAACTTATATTGACTAAGGATCAACTTTTAAAACAAACACTTTGCATCTCCTCTTAATCATATGAAATATTTGAAATTCCATCAAAGTTTGGCAAAGAGTTTGGAGTTAAATTAACACAAAATTGTAACAGTTACTACAAAATTAATTAGCATTAAATCTTCGAGATATAGAAGAATTGATAGAGGAGAATAGACAGCTCCATGCATCATATTAAAAATGCAAAGAATCCTTGTAAACTCTAAATTGCGAATTTGAAAAAATTGTAAATGATCCTCTAATTCAATCTGAATCAGATAAAATGAAATATCAAACCAAAAAGTTGAAAAAAGTGAAAGAAGAAAACAAAAGACTTCGACAACTTTTAAAGTACAAAAATTATGAATATTTTAGATCTTATCTTGACAATAGTGATAATAGAAGAATGGAGACACATGCCAAAGTAGAGTTACTTAAGGATGAACTTAATTCACTAGTAAAAGTAAAATTTAGTATCGATATCATAAGGAATTTGCGCAGCAAGAACAACAAAAGAAATAAAATGATATTTTAATATCAAATTGATTTACAATTGAATCTTTTCTTTTTTTGATTCATTTGAATATTATTGTCATATTTTCTCAATTATTGTCTAATATATTTAAAAATAACAGAAATGGAGAATGATAAATAATCTCAATTCGAAGATCATATATTATAGAGATTCACACTTCTGGAATTTAAGGGCAAAGGTGCATATGGAGTAGTATGGAAAGCACATGATAAATAAACTAAATCAATTGTTGCTTTAAAAAAAGTGTTTAAATAATGTAATCGCTTAGGTGTTTGATGCATTTCACAATAAAACTGACTCTTAAAGAACATTCAGAGAAGTAATCTTTTTGGAACAAGTATCAAAACATGCGAATATCATTAAATTGCTTCAAGTGATAAAAGCATAAAATAATAAGGACCTGTACATGGTCTTTGAATACATGGAAACAGACTTGCATAAAGTAAATGGATTCAATATAGCTAGGCTATCAGGGCAAATATCTTAGAACCAATCCATAAAAAATATGTCGTCTACTAATTATTAAAGGCAATTAAATTCTTGCATTCTGGAGACATTATCCACAGAGATCTAAAACCTGCAAATCTATTGATCAACGCTGATTGCGAAATAAAACTAGCAGACTTTGGATTGGCCAGAACAGTAAATACTTAAAGCGAAGATGATGGTAAATATAAAATTAGAATTTTTCCTAGTTCCCATCCTAACCGAATATGTGGCTACTAGATGGTATAGAGCACCAGAAATACTTTTAGGTTCATAAAAATACTCAAAAGCTGTGGACATGTGGAGTATAGGTTGTATATTGGGAGAAATGATTATGGGTAAGGCAATATTTCCAGGAACTTCAACCATGAATCAAGTTGAAATGATACTAGAAATTTTGGGTACTCCAACAGAAGATGACATCAAATCGATAGCAGCACCTTTGGCAAGGCATGTTTTAGACGACTTTTAATATGTGAAACCTAAAAATTTCAAGACTGTTTTTAGTTAAGAAAGCGATGACACTTTAAGTTTCCTTAAACATTTGCTAGTCTTTAATCCTTAAAAAAGATTGACTGTAGAATAAGCTTTAACTCATCCATACATGGCAGAATTTCTTGGTTCAGAGGATGAAACAGTGATAGGTAAATTACTTAAGCAATATTAATCTAGATTTCCCTGTTCAAACATTTATGGATGACAATGTATAATATAGTATAGAAGAATATATGACAGCACTCTATTAGCATATCAATCAAAAGTAGCAATAAATCCAACATTAAAATTGGTTTAGTTCTCATCAATCTCCAACAAATGTCAGCAAACCTTCAAGTTCCATATAATAATCAACTACTCCTACAAGTGTTTAAGATAAAAGGAAGAAGAAGGGGGATTCCATAGAAGGCTCAAATAACAACTCAGAAAACAAATAGATCATAAAGTAGGAAGTCAAGAAAAGGTTAAGTGAGGACAATCAAAATTAGAAGATGAGTGCTCTCGAAAAGTTTAAATCAATTGAGAATATGATTAAAATGTAGAAGGCCAAATTGGGAACAAGTAATGGCTAAATAACGGTTTAAAATAGTTCTAAATTGTAATATGGCAATAAATCAGTCAATATTACAAGGGCTGATAGTTAAAAAAAGAAGGAAGCCTCTTGTGTATGTATTTTGATAGATTTTATAGGAAATCTTGATTCCCAGTCCAGCTGCGAAGTCTAAGATTTAAAAAATTGTTAGTTAAAATACGTTCAAGGATCCACAAAAAGTATCAACTATTAAGTCTCAATCAAAATTACCGAAACATGAAAGTCAACATGATAAATTCTTGAACAAGAAAACTTATTTATAATATATTCTGAGTGGGAAAGCTAAACTGTAAAAATGATTTTATAATTTTCATTTAATGATAATGGTTATTTAATTTGTAATTATTTTGGAGTTTATTTATTTAGATTTAAGTTAAATAATTTTAATATATGATAGCTTCAAATTCCTCAAGGTAATAGAGAATTAACTGATTTAGGCTAATAAGTCCCCAATAAAAATTTTAATTAAAATACACCAAGAGTATTTCCAAAGAAACAAAATATCGGCTTAGAACAGCCAGACATAATTAAATAGAAAGATTTATTTTATAAAAACATCACCCAGATGAAATTAAAAAATGTAACACTAGTTGTCATTGTGATTTTTGTGGAAAAATGAGTGCGTTTTAAATCAAGGTTTGGAGATAAATACCTCAATATGAATCTGTGTAAAATCAAAAATTCAATTGATTGATTATAGTTTTTCTAGACGAAAAAGAGTTTTCAAACGTTTTAGAATAGCAGGCTATGCTGTGTAGTTCTTAGTTTTCTACAGGGCTGAATAGATAAAAAAATAAAAAAGATAAAGGCAAATGTAATAATTCCTTAGAAATCCTTTGATATCTACTAAAAGGGGAGCAATGGTAGTTCAATCAGCTAGATCTAACCGATCTCCAAAATCTCCCACACCTTCTGAAAATAAAATCAGGTTCGACTCAATATTTATTTGGTAGAAGAAATGCCACAGATTACTTTGAAATCGATTCTATCAAAGAAAAAATGTCATTCAATGATCACTGCAGTACTTTAATAGTTTGTTAAAATCAAAGTATAAAAAAGAGATAAGTCTCTTTGTATATGGAAGAGATGTTGAAAAATATTACAACAAAATAGAGTATTGCCATGAGTCTTACTCCTCTCTCAATAATTGTACTATGTTTTAATATGTTTTACATAGGATAAAAAACTAAAGAAGAACAAATCAATTCCTTGCATAACACAATAAATTTCTCCAAAGTACAGTCTAGACAATCTTTAGCTTGAAAAGTTATTGACTCCTTTGAATCTTCTACAAAGGGGTAAACGAAATCAATCTAATATACATATATTTCATAATGAATATTCAAATAACAACAAAGAAGTTATAAAAATGATTGATAATCTTAAGATAAAGCACAGAAAATTAAAAAGAAAAAATTGATTTTATACTCTTTCTTGTTAATCATTTTAATTTTTTAATTTCAGACACAAGATCAAATTCTCCATTCAGTAATTTACTTCTGAATTCTGCATTTCTATCAATCAATTTAACGGCTGATTTAACTCTATCCATATAATCCTAAACAGATGATTTATGAAGATCAAATATTGCTTATTCTATTTTTTTTGACCATTCCGCCTCTTCTTTTTGTGTCTATTAATAGAAATATTTCTTCAATCCTTCAACAGCCTTTTTTCTTTTTTCTTCATCAACAGGTACACCATTCCCATTTTAACTATCATTATTTTATAACTTGGTATTAAGTGAATTTCCATTTTTATGCTAAATTGGTTTGGTTTCTTTTTTCTCTTGTTCTTGTTTCACTTTCTTTTAGATTATAGGTTCTTCAATTTTCGATGGTTTTTATTTTTAAACAATTCTTTACAAATCTTTCTTGGGCTCATCTTTTTTAATATGATCTGTGGCGGCTTAATCATTTGTTAAAATTAGTTATTTCCATTATTTTACTAACTTCCTACAAATTTTTATAGCCTTGGCATATTTCTCCTCATCATCCTCTGTATATTTTTTCTGTCCTATACGTACAATGCTTTTTGTTATCTCACTATCAATTAATGCTTGGGTTTCAATATTGCCCTTATAAATTTAAGCTATTAATTTATAAGATTTAGAAATGGGAGTTGAAGAGAATTTCTTGAGTTCCTATTTAATTTCAGATAACTATTGTGCATTTAGCTCCATTTAATTAAATATTTATTTGATTTCGTTGTAAAAAAATAAGTATAAATATACGTGTTATTATATTAATTTTTATGAGCAAAAGCAACAACATTCTTTAAAAGAATTTGGAAGAAGAAAACATTCTAAAATAGGATGAGTTATTGGAGAAAGTACAAAAATTGAAACATGTATCCTTGAACATCCAAAACTATATCAAGAATGAGCAGCCGTCTCTAAATAAACTGAATAATGATTATGATAAATCTATTGACATGGTAAAAAAGTCAATAAATGGAATTGGCAGTATTAATAATTACTAATATTCTAGAATTGTTAAAATCATCATTTGGATAGAACACTTGCTTTCTGATTTGTGTTGTTTTTATGGCGATATTCATACTTTATTTATTGTGAATTAATAAGTTGATATTATTATATTAATATATGATTAACATACTTGGTATTATTTTTATTAATCATTCCATTTTCACAAACTATTTGAAAGAATAATGTATACAAAAAATAGTTGATTCTGAGTATTAATTAAAACATCCATCTAAAATATAAAATTTATGAATCCTTTATATAAAAATCATAAATAAATAAATGTTTAAATTAATTCAAAGAGCTTGCTTCAGATACGCAGTGGCTAGCAGCAAGGCTGAGGCTGAAATCAAATCAGTAGCAGGTATTGAGCATTGAAAGGTCTAGGACATAAACCACCCTCTTTCGAAGATACTGTCTAAGGAAAATATGCTGGAGTGCTTTTCTCAACTGCATCCTAAAGGGAAGCTCTTCATCTGGTGCTTTAGGATATGAAGTACTTCAAGGATTTAGCTGAAAAGAGTCCAGTATTCGCAGGCTTCTTATTAAACTCTGCATATAAGAGAAATCAATAAAGAAATGTCATATAAGCATTAACAAAAGTAAAGCGATTTTGATATAAGTGTAGGAAGGATTTCACGAGGTCACAGTGAATTTATTAAATACTATGATTGACAGTCAAAGAATTTCATATTTGACTAAGACAGCTGAGAAATATATTGAATATTATAGAATCTTTAACAAAGAAGAAAATATTACAATAATATCAGCAGAAGCATTATCTGAAGAATAAAGGTATGCAAGTATGTTAATGATGTAGAGCCCAAGTCGTTGGAGCCTTGAAGGAATCTAGTCCTAATGTTCAATTCTCTGTATAATATAAAGTGGACCCATCAATTTTGGGAGGTTTGTAAATGTATTCTGGCAACAAATTCTTGGATTGCTCGTTGTTGTCAAGGGTTAATAAATTGAGATCAGAGTTGTAGAAGTTGAGCATTTGATTAAGAATAAACAATAAAATAATAAATATATTATTAATCTAAAATATGGACAGTCTAAAGGATCCCGCGAATGACAGATATGTAAAAACACTGAAGCCACCTCCTCATCGTCCACTGGCTAAAAATTTGATGTTTCCTGATAAATTAAAGAGTATGACAATTAAGTAAAATGATTAGATAAACCTGATTGGAAGTTATTGAAGGATCATCTTTAAAAGGAGGGAAGAATTGCAAAGGAGGAATTATTCAAATTGGTAGCAGATTGCAATAAATTATTGAGTAAATTGATAAAATGATTATTAGAAAATGAAGGAAATGTACTTTATTTGTAAGATCCACTTACTGTAGTAGGTGATATTCATGGGTATTTATATTATTAAATTAAGACAATATTATGATTTGTTAAAATTACTGGAACCAAAGGTTGGAGGAAACCCTGAAACAACAAAGTAAAAGAATATTGCCAATAATTTAGATATTTATTTCTCGGAGATTTTGTTGACAGAGGATCATATTCAATTGAAGTAGTGATTTTACTTTATGCAATAAAAATAAATTATCCAAATACTGTATACTTTTTACGTGGTAATCATGAATGCAGATAACTGACTGCTTTTTTCAATTTCAAAGATGAATGTACATTTAATGTAAGCTTTAGGTTTGTATAAATATGATTAAGAAACTTATGAGATGCTTATGGATTCTTTTGATTTGTTTCCATTATCATGCATTATAAATTCAAAATTCATAGCTGTTCATGGTGGTATATCACCTGATTTAAAATCTGTAACTCATTTTACCAACATAAAAGATAGAAGACTTAAAAAAATTAGACAGATATCATGAACCACCTAGAAGTGGTTTATTTTGTGATATTCTGTGGAGTGATCCTGTGGATTAAGATTAAGGCAATTTGGATGGATAATGGAAAGGAAACGAAGTCAGAGGATGCAGTTGGTTTTTTGGAAATGAAGCTAGCAACAAATTCCTACAAAGAAACAATCTTATAAGTATAATAAGAGCTCATGAGGTTCAATATGATTTTAAAATCATAGGCTCAACTTGATGGCTACAAGATGCACAGGTGGAATGGAGGTCAAGATTTCCCAGTTGTTATTACGATATTCAGTGCTCCAAATTATTGTGACGTTTATAATAATAGAGGTGCTGTTATTAAATTTGAGGTAAATCTGATTTAATTTAATTTTAGAATAATACTTTGAACATCCAACAATTTTAGTATACTCCTCATCCATATTTACTACCAAACTTTATGGATATTTTTACTTGGTCCATTCCATTTGTGGCTGAAAAAATTACAGAAATGTTATATAATTTAATTTAAGCAGGAGAATAAGGAGATGATGACGAGGATATCAATTAAGAAGATATTGAACAATTTAAAATATTAACCTAACAAAATAAATAATTCAACAAGCAATAATCGACTGGAAGCACTGGAAGCACAGGAAAAAGTATGTGTATTTTTAATACAAGGCACTGAGAAATTAAAAAACAAATTAAAGTTTGTAGCAACAATGATGAAGATGTAAAAAACACTAAGAGAACAAAGTGAAAGCATTATGAAATTAAAAGGTGCTTGTCCTGATAAAAGATTACCCAAAGGAATATTATCAGCTGGTAAGACAGCAATTACTGATGGTATCCAATATGGTTCTAACTTTTTAAGCTCTTGCTGATTTTAATATTGCAAAAACTGCTGACATAGTTAACGAGAAAATGCCATCGCAAGCTTAAGTTCCTCAACAATCTGTATCAATAAAGAAACCGAGTAATACTGTCCAAAATAAAAAGAAATGAGATGGTTTTCTGGTAAATATTATAAAATATACAAATATTCATTGTTTATACCAAATATTTTTAATAAATAAAATTATAATGTAAGACAAATAAATTATTCAGCTTTTTGAAAAATACTCTAAGCTTAACGATCCAAAATTAGTGTTCTAGACAAGTGAATAAATTTTGGAAAGAGTAAAAGAAGATGATATAACCTTTGTATTATCAAAAATTATGAATTGTTTGCAATCAACAGATTTTGACACTACAATCAATTATGCCTTACTATTAAAGCAACTAATTTAGAAATACTCATCTAAACAACCAAAATTACAACCCAAAGCTATTTTCGATAATTTACAATAAACTTTAAGCAAAAAGAATTCATATGGCAAAAGTGAGTTTAAACATTTCATGCTAACCAAATATTTGGTCTATTCGTACTTAGATTTTTAGAACCTATTAAATATTATACTTGAAGATCGAAAAACTGAAGATTCGGAATACTTAACCTATGTCTTATTGAAGCAGCTGTATAATTTATCAAATTATCTAGTAAACCTGAAAATGTTAAATAAGTTAGCAATGCAATAAAAAATGATCTCTAAAATTTAACACCTAGAGTTTTTTGTATTTTAGTTAAGCTCCAATAATTGAGTCAAAAAGGGTAATTCTAATGGGATAAATATCTTCAAGAATAGGTGTTTGACAGACAGAAATTCCATAAACTTTTAGAATAAGCAAATGACCAATTCCCAAAGAAACAACTCTTCTATTAGTACTTAGCCATATATATGGGGAAGGTTAGATTACTTGTTTATATTTATAGTTTAGTCAATCATAAGAAAAATAAAAAATATATGCTGAGTTCTGGGAATACCTATTCTAATAAGAGGACTTAAGAAAGTTAAACTATATCATTTTATCAATTTTTAAACATTTCCTAAAATCGACTACTGTTCCACTCTCTCTAATTAGAAATTAATAATTGGTTGAATTATGGTACAGGTAATTTGGAAATTCTAATTCTGTTATGAAAAGATTAGCAAATAAGATTGAATAATACTTGACTTAAAGAGATACTTCTTTTGAAGACATTGTTTACCTTAGAAATATTTATGGTTATAGAATACATCCAAAAAATGCAATTGCATAAAAAATATTGGCAAAGTTTACAGAAGATGAGGTAGATCAATACTTTGAGAATATGAAATAATAAGAACAATCTTCTACTGATCCAATCAATAAACTCTATTATTTAAATGAAATCTATGTTCTCGCTACTGTAAGTAATACAAACATTAAAGTCTTGACATCTATGATAAAATATATCTATGAAATCGGGTGCATAAATTTTGAATAGATTTATGAGCAATTAGATGAAGAGTCTAAGGAAGCCTACCAATTTGAAGAAATTAAGAAAAAGTTTTTAGATTAATGTTAGAGTTTCTTTTACTCACTTGTTGGAAAAGTAGCTGCTGTAAATATTATATATGATAAGTAGAATGTGTAAGAATTTGATGAGTTAACCAAATCCTTATTGAAATAACTTAAAAAATCGGATTTAAGTAAATAATATAAATTGATTACTGGTAAATAACCTAAAGAATGTATTAAACATTTAGTCAATGCAATCCTTATGTTTTCATTTCTCAATTAAGAAGAAGGATTATAAATTTTGGAGGAGTTTCAACACATTGCAGGCGACATTTAAGATGAGGAACCTCAAATAAAAAAAAAAGTAAAGACTAATCCAGAGAAGGCAAAAGTTGTCTTAACTGAAGTATTTATTTAATTGTTAACAAAATCTCCATGTAACATTATAAATTCTATATATTTTTAGAATTCTTGAGAGATGCTGTTAATTAGTGCTGTAAATCACTTGAGTTTACAACAGAATGTTTAGAGATTTTATTGGATGTTTTGTTGAAGGAAGATCATGAATATATTGCTGAGATGCAACAATAAGAATTAGATGATGAGGAAGGTGGAGATGAAAGCTTAGAAGAAGAAGAGGAGGAAAATTAATGATGTTCATATATTAGTTGTTGTACAATAATTATACAATACATTTAATTGGTTTCCTCAATTAAGCAATAAGACTTTTCAAATTTATNTATGGGGAAGGTTAGATTACTTGTTTATATTTATAGTTTAGTCAATCATAAGAAAAATAAAAAATATATGCTGAGTTCTGGGAATACCTATTCTAATAAGAGGACTTAAGAAAGTTAAACTATATCATTTTATCAATTTTTAAACATTTCCTAAAATCGACTACTGTTCCACTCTCTCTAATTAGAAATTAATAATTGGTTGAATTATGGTACAGGTAATTTGGAAATTCTAATTCTGTTATGAAAAGATTAGCAAATAAGATTGAATAATACTTGACTTAAAGAGATACTTCTTTTGAAGACATTGTTTACCTTAGAAATATTTATGGTTATAGAATACATCCAAAAAATGCAATTGCATAAAAAATATTGGCAAAGTTTACAGAAGATGAGGTAGATCAATACTTTGAGAATATGAAATAATAAGAACAATCTTCTACTGATCCAATCAATAAACTCTATTATTTAAATGAAATCTATGTTCTCGCTACTGTAAGTAATACAAACATTAAAGTCTTGACATCTATGATAAAATATATCTATGAAATCGGGTGCATAAATTTTGAATAGATTTATGAGCAATTAGATGAAGAGTCTAAGGAAGCCTACCAATTTGAAGAAATTAAGAAAAAGTTTTTAGATTAATGTTAGAGTTTCTTTTACTCACTTGTTGGAAAAGTAGCTGCTGTAAATATTATATATGATAAGTAGAATGTGTAAGAATTTGATGAGTTAACCAAATCCTTATTGAAATAACTTAAAAAATCGGATTTAAGTAAATAATATAAATTGATTACTGGTAAATAACCTAAAGAATGTATTAAACATTTAGTCAATGCAATCCTTATGTTTTCATTTCTCAATTAAGAAGAAGGATTATAAATTTTGGAGGAGTTTCAACACATTGCAGGCGACATTTAAGATGAGGAACCTCAAATAAAAAAAAAAGTAAAGACTAATCCAGAGAAGGCAAAAGTTGTCTTAACTGAAGTATTTATTTAATTGTTAACAAAATCTCCATGTAACATTATAAATTCTATATATTTTTAGAATTCTTGAGAGATGCTGTTAATTAGTGCTGTAAATCACTTGAGTTTACAACAGAATGTTTAGAGATTTTATTGGATGTTTTGTTGAAGGAAGATCATGAATATATTGCTGAGATGCAACAATAAGAATTAGATGATGAGGAAGGTGGAGATGAAAGCTTAGAAGAAGAAGAGGAGGAAAATTAATGATGTTCATATATTAGTTGTTGTACAATAATTATACAATACATTTAATTGGTTTCCTCAATTAAGCAATAAGACTTTTCAAATTTATTTAAACTTAAAGAGATTACTTAATCTTATAAGGAAAATATATAAATTAAAAGAAGATTAAGAATTCTAAGTTTGTATTGAAATTCATGCTAAAAAGATAAAGTCTTTAAGCATTTTCAAATGAGGATAAAATATATATGTTATTTTGCACAAAAAAATTGGGAAAGTTGATAAAAATAGTTAATGACAAATGGAATAATAATGTTATAATACATTCATTGTCAATTGGTTTATTAGTACTTTGCTTATAAATCTCTTTTCAATAGAATAGTTTTAAATAAATCGCCCCATAATTTGATTAATTCTTTTTTTTTATTAATTTTGTTCTTTTCAGCTATTTCAATTTTGAATTATTCATAAAGTGCAATAATTTTATCATAATCCTCATTTAGTATCAAATAGCCACATTTTTAAGCAAACATTCTTCCATTCTATGAATCAAATCCATCAACTGCTTCAATAAATTTGATATTATTCTTAGCTAGCAAATGTTTGATGCCTTGCATTCTGACAAGTCTAGTACCTTTTGGAGGTGGAAAAGAAAACGTCTAATGATTTATCATTTTATTGTACTTCATAATTTCCATAAGCATTGGATGGTAAATTTCCATCATTATCTTCCAAGGATACTTTAATATCATTAGTCTACCAAATGGCATAGAGAGCAGTGGTCTTAGTCTTATCAAATTTCTAGCTGACTTCTTTGATAGGTTACACATCAAGTTTAACTTCTCTCAAATATTCTCTCCATTTATCTCTGGAATGAAGTATGATGACATCACTTTATAAATAAATATCTTCATCTTTGAATTTGACTCCAATCGGTTTAGCATCTGGATGTATCATCTAATATTATGAAAGTTATGATGCCAGAGCATAATATTAACTATATTTAAATTCCTTCTCGTTTGTGTAATCTCCTGGTGCTGGTATTATTACATTTGCACTAACAGGCTCATTGACTAATTATTAAAGTCCTTTGTAGATTAATTCTAAAATACATTATTCAAATACTTGCATTGTAAGCTAATTGATTGAACCATCTTTCAAGAGACAATTGGCATCTTTAAATTTAATAATAGTATGAATATTTTTAAGTGATATCTACAAAATGAGTATTATCGAATAACCTATTTAAACGAAAATTGGGATCCTTAAATGTTAAGTCTTGAGCTGCAATAATAAAATGACTGAAGCTATTTTACAGCTTGGTTTTTAGAATATTGATATCCAATAACACAAGTTTATCTGATATAGGATCGAAAGGAATCCATGAGTTCTAATTGGGATCATAAAATTCTAGCCAAATGTTCTAATTGTATGTTTGAATATCCTAATTAATTTATCTTTCATTTGGTTATTTTTTATTATCTTTCTTTTTTGGTTTTTTTTAATCTTACTAGATGTCCATTAAACTTCTACTTTCATTCTATTATTATTATTTTTTTTAGAATTCTTGAGATACTTTTAATCCTTTCTCTTTTTAATTAGGTTTTTAATAAATAAACTAGTTCAAAGATTCGACCTTTTCTGATTAAGTCATGAATTATGAATTTAAATCAAAGATAGTTTTCGTATTTTATTCTACCTCCTCATTCTCCTACTCAGTTTTCTTTATTGTGCGAATCTTAAATTTTAATTCTAAACCCAAAAACCCTATATCAAATGCTCTTACTAACCTGACATTCATTCCATAGTACTTGCATAATTGCCCAAAGGTTATGATATACTCTGATGGACTCAAATGAGTGATTTTGAATTCTTTTAAGAATTGAGTTTTTAATGAATAAGTTAAAGCAAAACCTTAGTAAAGTGCGAACACTTTCTCTTATAGAGTTTTGGCTTAATCTAGTTTCATTTCTATCATTTCTATAGTTGAGAATGTAAAATTAGACAATTTAAATGCAAATTCAGATAAATTGTTCATGGTTTTATGATCTTAAAACAACTTAAACAGCTGTATGATGATTGTTGTACGGATTTAATTAACTGGAACATAACTCTTCTTTTTAGGTTTTTAATCAATCTTTTTTTATTCTTTCCTTTAAATTTTTTCCTATAATTCAACTAAATCATCAGGCAATCCTTCTTCGATTATTTCATAGTCTTCTTGTTTATTTGGTACAATTTTCTTTAATTAATTTACTCTTTCAACAAAGTCGTCTTCATCTTGTATAGATTCCTATGACATTTCCTCAGATTCTTGATTTACTTCAAAAGAATCGTCCATTTATTAGTAAATTGTAAATTAATTATAATAAAATTTTGGCTCTTTTTTTCAAAATGACTAAGCATCAAGAATATAAAATCTATAAGTTAAATAAAATAATATAATCCAAAACAAATGTGAATTGTACTCAGAGAATCAAGACAAGATTTTAACCAAATATTATTTCCATAACTTAATTAATAAGATGGGAAATAAACCCTCTGTAAATTAAAGTAAATTTCAGAAACAATTGACAATTAATGACAAGCAATTTAAAAAAGACTAAAGCCAATCGAATGTTATTGCTCCTTATAGAGAGGGAACGACTTTAGCTGTGGAAAGTAAATTGAAGGTATATTTAAAAAATGCTAATGATGGTGAAGACCTTGATGATGACAATCAAGGAGGAAGGAATAAGTTATAATAATTTAAAGAAGACTAACATAATGTTGAAAATATTTAAAAAGAAATTATCCATTTAGAAGAAACAGTGTTTTCAAAAGAAAAACTATAAAGAGTTCGAGAAGACTTTGAATCCTATTCTAAAGAGAATAAAATGAGCAGAAAGAAGTTACTTGAATATTTTGGGATGGCAGAACTCGATAATAAAAGGTTAGGAAACAGGATTTTCTAATGTGTTAAATCAACTTTCTCATAGAAAAAAACAGGGTATATAATAACAACATTGTGCTATTTAGACCTTTTCTAGATTATGCTAAGTTTTTAAAGGCCATATCCATGCTATCTTAATAAAATGATGAAGGAAGATTGAGGTTTCTATACTCCATGTTTGATATGAATTTAGAAGGCAGTATAGAGAAAGATGAGATGTATAATTTAATGATGATGTTTCTGGAAGTAATTTATTCTAATATATTTTAGGGCATGATGTCAATTAATTATGAGAATTAAGATTTGAATGATTTAAAGTAAAGAATAAGTGAATCACACGACAGGCAAATTGAACTAGCTCTCGAAGAAATTGTCAATGAAATATACTAAAATCATGCATCCAAACAAAATGTGTTAAGCTATGATGATTGGAGAAATTGGTTGATGGAATAGGAAGGAATTTAAGAAATTTTACAATTTAATCCTCATACTGATTTTTAGGATTGAGTTATATTGAGATTGAATTTATTATGATTGTATATGATTCAATCATAGAATTTGATAATTTAAAACGTTATTTTACAATAAAATCTATAAAACAAATTTAAACAAAATAATTTCATTTAAACTTTGATTTAGTAGCGTTGAATTGTTTCACTGTTGAATTTGATTTTATCACAAACGATTCAGTCTTTTTCTTTGATGATCGCATTTACCTTTAAAAGGCCGCTTTTAAGCTACCATCATCTTAGTTTTTATCATCATCAGGAGACTATGTCTAGAATTTCTCATATTGATTTATATTCTTTGAACTATAGGAGGGTCCAATTAATTTTTCAGTGTGATACTAAGGGATTTTTAAAGGAAAATCTTAATTTTATTGCAAATTTAGATTTCTAGGACTCTAAATAGAAACTTGACTTCTAGGAGAGGAAGGACTAAAAGTCAAGGTTTTAGACTGTTTAATTCTTCTATTGATATGTCGGTTTGAAAAACTAGCTTGCTTTTTCATTTACAGCTACATTAATTTAGCTAATTGTTCCTAAACAAACCATTAATGATTTAGACACTGATGGGAGGTTAATCGTTCATCAGGGTTGGGTTAAAACGTGCCAGTTATAAAATCAAGACCAAGCGGACTTAGATTTAGAGAACTGAGATCAACTTCGCCTTCAGCATTTTACTGCAACCTGGTATCAGAGTTTCCTTCAAAGGGTAGTGTTCCAGTCGTTAAAATATAAAGAATAACACCAATGCTGAATACATCAACTTTTAAATCATAATTTTAGTGATGCAAGATTTCTGGGGCAATAAAGCCAGGGGTATCACTACATATTGAATCATAATTCGATTCTGAATCATAGAAATCAGCAAATGAAAATTTTCTTAGACATAGGGTCTCTATATTATCATCAATTCTAAAAACGATATTATCAGGTTTCAAGTCTCTATAAATGATGTTTTTTGAATGCAAATAGCATATTGTTTTGACTAATCTAAAAATGATTTTTGCAGCTCTATCTTCTGGAAAACAGATTTCTTTGGCAATAAAATCCATTAAATTACAACTCTTTATTAATTCAAGAATGATAAAGACTTGTTCACTGTTTTCAAAGATCTCATAAAATTTAATAGCAAATTCAGATTAAACTCTTCTGTGAATAGAAGTTCGTTTTATTAATGCAACTCTATAAGCCTCGTCTATGAAAGATTTTTTTTGATAAATTTTTACTGCATATTCATTTCCATCATATTTGTTTACGGCTTTAAAAACCTATTAGGGAAATATAGAAGTTTATACTTATGACAATTAACCTTTGCCAATTATCTTTTTGATATAATATGTAGCATCGAAATCACATTGTATTGTATAGCTTTTAAGATAACCAAGCCATGATTTAGCATCGCAAAATATTTCAATAACATCGAAACATTTAATGAGTCTCAAGGCTGAACCAAATTTTGGGTGATAAAAAAGTTCTATTATGGCGTTCTCAATGTCTATCCATTTAGTTCTACCCTAAATAAAAAGTAAAGTGAATATGCTACTTTTTTTGTCTGGTAAAATAAATAGTTTGCAACACTTGTTAGTGTT